CGTATGCGAGTTGTTTTGTTCGATAACAAACCGGTTTGACGGACACGCTGCACAAATTGATGTACAAACTGTCTGAAAGGCTGTATATTTCGCACCAATTTTGCTCGCAACTTTCTTGCAGTATATTTTAACGACTAACCGCTTTGGAAGTAATTTTTCGATAGTTTCCTTCAAACGTAAACTTAATCATTCCGCTAACTAAAAAACTTGCGCTGAGTATTTGATATACCCGTAATGTCAATGAAGGCGACAAAGCTTTAATAGATCGCTTATGCCTCGCCCAATATATGGTGAAACAGTAGAATCTCTATGCTATTAGACTATATGTGTTTTTGTATATATATGTTTGCCCTTTTGTGTATTGACTGAAGATTTTTTTTTTTCAAAAATCTAAACTTTTAACTACATTTCTATAGACTCGTTGTTCGTTTCAAGTCCTTCCAACACATGCATACGGTAACAGATTGCTTTCAATTGCAGTTATTGCAGTTTTTCATATACTGAAAAAGGATACTGAATTTATGTGCGTAAAAAAAAATATACAGTTATATATACAATACATACGTATCTAGCTAGTGCAGTGCACTTCTTTGTATTGTCAACATGTCTTTTGTTATTGTTTATTTCGTTAACAGAGCAGGAGCTTGTTTTTATTTCAAGTACAACAAATGTTGTCCTAACATCCAAGTGACACCCTTTTTGACTGCTACATGTGTTATAATGGTATGGCAAACATCCACATATTTATACCTACATACGCACACACACACACCCATCTTAGTGTATGTTTATAAAAATTCTTTGTAGATGCACTTGCACATATTGGAGTAAAAATGCAATTGAAAAATATATATATAATATCGCATTCATGCTTTGTGCAGTTTTATTGGTGGATCTCAAGTGAGTTTCACACCAAGTGCCCCTGAATGCAATAACTGTCACCTCAACTGCCACTTCGCTGCCATACACAAGTGACAAGGAAAGAAATTTAAAAGGTTTTCGTCCATTTTTCTTTTTTTTTAGCTCCGGCAAGTGCATTTGAGTTATTTTATATTTGAAAATATTATTTTAGTTCAAAAATAAATTAATTTTTTTTAACCATACACACATATGTACATATATGCGTATATTGCAACCCATGTATATTTCATACGTCTCTTGGAAAAGAAAAGAATTTGGTGTTTTCGTTTTAATGGTATTTTCTAATTGTTTTTGGAATGCTGTCCTGTTGCTGGGTATGCAGCTACAGTTGTTAGCAGGGTGACTCAGTCACAGAGAAAATTCCGTTTCCATTTCGAAACATTCCTAGGTTGGTTGACTTCGCGTAGCCCGATATATGGTTGTCCGTAGTACTAGATTAGAGCGCAAGAAAATACATCAAGCTGCATGGCTGCCTGGGGCGGTCGCGATAGTCGAGTAGATCAAAAAACTTGCAACCATATCGACCATGATGTGAAACAGATGAAGTCTCAATATCAATTATCCACCCGAGGAAGCGGTGGAAGACAATACTTTACTAGCACTAACGGGTTTTTCTAGGGTATAAGACGTGCAAGAAGAAAATCCATCGTCAACGAATTTTTGGAAAAGATCAATGGGACAAAGATCTCCTCACTGCACTATAAATTTCAAAACTGCCTTTGATAGCTCAAAGGGGAAATGATATGTCTGAATTTAGTAATTCCACAAAACTTATACGTCCGCCTTCTCTGACCCATTGGACAAAAACGAATCGCGACAAGAAAATTGCGTTTGCGTTTGCATCTTGTCTCCTACGTAATAAATTTGAAATTGAAGATGGCTTCGTCTATCTAGGTCCCAACATAATGGCCAATAACAATGCGAGCGTTAAAAGTCAACAGAACATCACTTTTGCTATTTCCTTTGGAGAGTGTAGGCAATTAAAAAGTTCTCTCTTCACAAACAGAAACGACACCCTAAAAACACTCAACATTACCGTTTTTTAAGTTAATTTAATTCAATTTATTATTTTATTTTAATTTATTTTATTTTGTTTTATTTTATTTTATTTTGTTTAATTTTATTTTATATTATTTTATTTTATTTTATTTTATTTAATTTTATTTTATTTTATTTTATTTTATTTTATTTTATTTTATTTTATTTTATTTTTATTTATTTTATTTTATTTTATTTTATTTTATTTTATTCCAACAAAATCATTTCGCTCAACAGTGTGCGCCCTACTGCAATTCACTAAAGTCATTAATAATTTATTGCCATTATTCAGTGACACGTAACAGCCAGGAGTAAATAGAAATAATATATTTTATATTAGTTTTCAAGTATCAGCTAATGTTGCACGTTCAGCAACACGTGAGTATATACTTATGTATGTACATACCTATGTATGTTTGCGACATTTGATAATAATGGTTAAATCAATAGAGTATTAGTTTCACGTAGGCGTTTCTGATAAATTATTTTATGAATGCACGTAATACATACATATATATGTCCTTGTGGCCTAATATTTACATATAACTATATGGATGTGTTGTTTTTATATAACTTATCGTTTTTATATTTATGTGAATTTAGTATATCAGAGACTTACGGAGCATCTTATACAAATAATATGCTTGCCAGTATTCTTTTGCTGAGAATTTATATATATTTACTTTAGAAAACATCGAAAATGAAATTCCTTGTAAGTATCTATGTCATCTACATCAATAATTAGCTTATTTGATATCCCTACAAATTTTTTAACAAGCTTAATTACAACGAGTGGCTTTGTAAATCTTCCTGCAGCTCAGTGAATTTTTTTTCCTCAAATTTCCTTATTGTATTTTGTAGATAAAATATTTTTAAAACAATCAATGCTCGCAGCTACAAAAATTTAAAAATTATGTCATGCCATTTCAAGTAGTATATACACACATGTACATGTGTATTAGTTCGTTACTCTGTAAGTCGTGCACTGTGTGAGAACTTAACATGCCACATGTGACACCAGTGCTGAATTAAACTCGATTGTTGTAGCAACTAATCAAATTACGCCCATACATTGATATGTACTTGTGTGTGCTGGTAATAGTAATAATAAATAACAAAAGAGAGCTAAGGCAAAACATAAAAAGCAAAATTCAACACCACGAAAAGGAAAATGTAATATGCCACAGAAGTATGAAGTGCCATATAATATTATATATGTATGTATGCAAGAGTATGTACATAGTAAATAAATGCAATGGATGTCGCATTCTTTAGCTGATGGCGTTGACGTCATCGTCGTATTTGAACTTCTAGCTTGCAGCAAGTAATTGTAATTTAATTTCCAATTAGCAAACAAGCAACTAAATCGAAAATCCTTCCTGCCACAAGCACATTCCATGCGCGTAACGCGTACATGCTAAGGCATACATAACTACCCGGCAGAGGAAAAAACTACTTGTCAACTATATTCCAACTCGTTTGTATTTTTGCACTAACCAATTCACCATGGAAGGATGGAGCCATGTATAGAAGTTCTTACACAAGCTTTTGGCTGCCATTCACCTGGGAGTGGTCGGAATATAAGGTCCTTTCAAACGTGTTGTGAGAGTGGCTAAGGTCCATAGTCAACTACCTGATTAAAAATTATCACTGCGGCTTTAAGCCTGGTTGATCCACCATTGACTAAATATTCTCCTCGGGTTGGAAGAGAATAGATACACATCACCTTTTCACAGATTTTAAAGGTGCCTTCACATCAAGAAGCTGCCCTTGCGTCGCTATATCTACATTTGGTAAACCTACAAATCTTATACGCTGGACTGTACTAGAAACACAATCAGAATTGTGAAAGACCTCTCCAAGACATTCGATACGAAATGAGTTTTCTGGCAGGGTGATTCTTTATCGTTTAATTTTTTTCGGTTTCATACTCCAGAAAATGATTGCAGAAAGAACCGCGATGATCCCGCCAGTGAACAAGAAGAAGAAGTACATCTTACATATATTTCCTATATAATCAACTCGTCGAAAATCGCTTCAGCGCCAAGTATCCAATAGTGTTTTTAACGCGGCGATATCCTATAAGCTGTCAATTGTTTGACTATGCATCAGGTGCATACTAGTTAAATACTAGTTTGCGTAGGCATGTTGATTTTCCGTTTAACCAAAAATAAAGCTGAGCAGAAAAAATGGTTTTTCTTGTAGCTAGACCTGAACTTGGACGAGAGCTTCGCGGGCTACAGTGGCAACTTCTAATCACTCGGCGACGGTGACGATACAACGAACAACGTCATTTTGCTTAACACCGAATGGAACTCAGCTGGATGGTGAATATTTTTATTATACCCTTTACTGATGGACTACTAGACAGATAACCAACTGGTTTGATTTCACCTTCAAAATACTAGTATTTAAGTAGTGACTTTGCATACTAGTACACCGTCTCCCTGCATAGTATGTACATACAACAAAAGGCGTGTATAAGTATTTCGGAAACTTAATTACTCGTTCATGAACACACAATGCCATACACACACATACATTCCTGGTTTAAACCAAAGCAATAGAGGCTGTCTTGTAAATTATGCAGGCGAGAGCGCATGTAGTAATTGCAATTGTTGTTGTTACAGGTGACTGTCGTTGAAAATGCATATATATGTAGGTACTCTTGTGAGCATACAAAATAAACATTACAAACATACATTTGCTGGTGTAAAACACTCTCAAACTCAGAGGTTCAGAGGTTCAATATAGTACGTATGATATTTTAATTACACACACATATATATATATATATATACAGTTTCTAATGCCTCGACAATCGAAAAATATTTTTCCTGCACATTTTCCTTCTTTTGAGCTACCCATATGACTTGGAAAAATATTTACATTTCTCATGATATTCCTTAATATTTTGACCTACAATTTTTATGCATAAGCCAAGCCAAATTTCTCAATATTCCAAAGTGAAAGCAAATTTTCTTATATTTATTTTCAAATTTCATTTTGCTACATTTTTTCCTTCCTTTCCTTTCTTTCAGCCCGTTGGCATTTATGCCAAAAAATATGAATGGGCTGCCCGCCCTTCTAGCAGTAGTAGCGGCGGCCTACATCTGGACTTGCATCCGCCGCCCATGCAAATTGGCGGCGATTGTTCGCTTTGGATACGTTCGGCGACGTTGGACTTTGATGACGGCTTGTGGGAGTGTCAGGTGACGGCGAGTGATTTTACAACACAAGATGCCCTCACCAGTCAACCGGTGCGCTTGGTTGTCAGAGGTAAGAGGTTGAGACAATTCAATGGCATATCCGATAAGTCAAATATTCTGTACAAGATTTGCGATTTGCGAATAAAAAACACCAATGAAGAGCTTAATGCAACCTAGGATTTTTTCTTTTGTAACCACGGCATGCTGTTTAACTTGTTGGATGTCTTCGCGAAAACATTTGATGTTGTCGGAGTTGTGGGAGGAGGAATCCATATTATTGCTGATCAGCGATACAATGATAATCTGTTCAAACATATATTCGATGAGCGCTTTGATTGTGCCTACGAGTCACGGTGTCAAAGCTATTATTGATTATATTGAAACCAAGAAGTTTGGACAAAAGGAGATTTTTTTCTTACAACAGTCGCTTCACTCAACATTTACGGTAAAACATTCCTTATCAGTTAAGGCTGCTCAACTTAGCCAGGGCCAGAAATATAGTTGACGTAATATCAGAGTTCGGCTAAAGAGAATTTATCAATCAATTTGGCTATCGTCGGATCGAAAACCTCGTAACCAAACCAGCCATGCTGTGTTAGAAAAAAGATAGTTTTCTAGAATAAATACAGGAGAGACTTAAGGTCGAAAAGTTGTAATCCCAACAGACAGTCATATATTTTTCTGCTCGACTCTCTATCCAGCTCTCTGAAAACACACTCAGCAACAAATTTGATATAAGGAATCCAGTGAAGTCAGGTACCTTTCCATTCCTCTACTTTCACCGGCCGGTACATACTCGAATACCATCAAAACTGGACAATTCAATCTGGACGCTAAATCATAGGAATTTCATCTTAGAAGACACACCAAATAGAACTTCTTTTTCTGAAGCCCTTTGCTCTAAAATGCTCTTATCAGTCCTGACAGAGCTTTAGCTGTAGCTCAACATTAATTTTGCATACCCATGTAAGCTTTACGCAGATACCAAGCATTTCTTCTTGGTGTCGATCCCCTTTAAAGAATAGTTTCTATAATATCGGGTACAAGAATATCCGGCCAAAGGCTTATTCAGCAGTTCTAAAGCCCCAATAATAAGGTTGAAATCGTTTGTTGACGTTGGGCTTTAGTTTTTCATACAGTATGATCGATCGGACTTAATACAAAATAGGCTTATCCACCAAAAATTACTACAAATTGTAGAAACCTCTTTTCTTTTGGACTGAGCAGAGTCTATTTATGTTCAGGCTTTTGTACGATCATGTACTTCAAAGAAGGTGATACATTTACCTTATTATCTCTGCAAGCACTATATGCATGAATAGCTCAGCCGGCAAGCCATTGGCTCGCGTCGCTTTGTAGTTCTTAATCATGGTGGGGTGATGGAACGTTTATTCCATCTTTATCGATTAGAGCTTGTCATTTCTTTGGCAGCTAAGCAGTTTGGGGAAGTTTTCACTCAATGAACTCACTTTATTTTGAACCTCAGACACCAGATCCCCTGTCACCTTACTCATGAAAGAATTCCTGCTCCAGAAACATTCTGGAAGACGCCTCGTCGAATTTTCAATTACCAACTCTTTCTGTCTACCAATTCGCCTCGGCATCCTTTTCAATCTTCAAACTCCAAAAACTGCCGGTACTTACTTTTTTCACACAGTCAATTTTTCTTAATGCTCCTACCAGCTGCAGTCTTGTGCCTTTAAGTGTACTCATATATGTGTATATGGGCATGCATATACATATATATGTACATATGCTATAGCTTAGCACTTGCCCTTTAACCAAAGCGACAGAGATATAGTTATATGTAAGCGTCTAATTAAATTATGTCATCTGAAGTTGTTGGTGCTTGCAGTATTCGATGCCACGCTAAGCGTAGGTTAAGCAAGTGCCAAGAAGAGTTAAGAAAAAGCAGAAAAAACGAATGAAAAAAAGAAAACTAAATTGAAAGTTGTTACAGCTGAGGCCAAAGGCAATTCACTAATTTGCCACACACTGTTGCTCCGATTCATGCTCTCTCGCCCTTTCGCCTTATCGCTCACTCTGTCTGTTACATGCTCATGCTTTGACCTAAGCTCTTAAAGCTTAATTAATTTTAAATCTTATCTAATTTTCCAACACGTTGCAGTGGCTCTACTTATACTCTATAACCTAACATTAACGTGTGTGTATGTGTGTGTGTGTGTGGATGTGTGTGGATGCGTGTGAAGTGCTTCCGTTTCCATTGCAGCAACTGTGCTCTTAGCAGGTGTATGGTCTGCTCGAGTTTGCATGAGTGCTGTTTAGGTAAGTTTTCATATCATTAGCCTCTGGCATATAGAAGCACACGCTCACACATGGGTATGTCTATTACATATGTATGTATGTATGTGTATGCAGTTTAATTCAAACTAGTAAAACAAACTTCAACCCATCGAATAAATCCACCTCAAAAACAAATGTTCTATATATGTACGTTTTGATACTCTTTGATACATATATATATAGACTTATATATAAATTTATTATAAATTATATATACATATATGCGTGGTTGGCGCATTCTGCTCAAGGCCCTTACATATGTAAAAAAATGTGTATAAGTACAGTAGCAAATACATTTTATATATATATAACTATATATTATTAAAAGGTATATGTACCCTTTTGTGTACGCAGTATTTTAGATTAAATTAAATTATGCTCAACTAACATAATTGCATCTGATTACCAAAAGGGTTGTAGACTTGTGATGATCTGGAGAAAAAAGAATGCGCATCGCACCAGCACTTTAGTCGGTGCCTTCAGGGCATAATGTCCTGAAGCGGCATTTCTGAGGAAAAAAATAAAGCTGGGGACGGCTGAATTTACATCGTGCTGGGATGAATACCAAGGGCCCATTAGGAGGCATGGAAAGCACAACCGAGTTCGCAAGACTAAGTGTAAAGGAAAATGTTGGCCAAAGGAACCACGCCTCAAGTACTGATAAAATCTGAGAACGATTCATGTGTCAAAACTGCAGGAAATCACCAGAGATGCTACTTGAAGCACACTTTCTATCTACACGAAGTTATGTTAATAATAATAATAAGTTCACCCGCCCAAACAACACAAAAGGCGACATCCGCATAACATACGGAATATGCCAAGTCATTATTGGGAAGCCTTTCAGCTACAAAAAAAATATTCAGCAGCTGAAACTTAGTAATCAAGGAATATTAAAATTTAATGGTTGAGAGTAAAAGGAATATTTTTTTTTTTTTTTTTTTTTTTTTGAAGCGAGTCAGAGTGGTAGAAGGTGCTGGAATGAAAATTAAAATTGTGCCAAAATCGTCGAAAAGATTCATTCAATTCATAATTTGTAAAGGCCTAATTCGTCTAGATACACAATTTGGACCGTTAAAGTTTACCTCAATCAAGAGCCATGATATACAAATTGATCCCTTAAGCAGTTGCACCACGAATTATGCGCCAAACATAACTCCACGATTTGTGAGAGTAGGTAGATTTAAAAGCTTTAAACGGTTGGTATAGGGCGGAATATTTCTTATATAGTTCCGGAAATAACTACCAACGTGCAACAAATGGAAAGTGTGGACGGCATAATGGATCTATATAAATTTATGTGGGCAATGCAGACATTCTAAGATTACAAATCACCAGGTTAAGACGGAATCTTTTGTGTAAGCTTTGAAGAGCCGATTAAAGGTTTATAAAATACTTCAGCAAGCTTTTCGAAGCTTGTGTTAGGGATAGCTGCGTCGTGGCTTCATTGCGAACGGTAAGAGCAGTGTTCGTACCCAAAGTAGGTAAGGCAGGCTGCGTCTCGCTTAAGACCTATCGCCCAAACAGTTTAACCTCGTTTCGTCTAAGAAATATTGAAACGCCTGGTAGATGTTAACAGCAAGAAAACTGTGGATGAAGGTCCACTCTGAAAAGTACAACATATATTCATAAAGGTAGAGGCGACGCTCGGAAGCGGGGTATTGGTTTGGGCATCTGGAGAAGAATATGGAAGGGGGAGTTGCACGTCTGCGGACGATATCTCGGTCTTAGTGGGGGTAACCCTCAGGTCTTTAAGTACGTAAGCTGCAAATGTGTAGCAGTCGGTAGATAATGGTCAGGGGGCAAAAATCGAGTGGTTGCGTACTATCATTCTGCAAGCCAGAGTTCCAATATGGTATGGCAAACTCCAGCTGCCGGCCGTATATCTAAGTGAAAATCAATAATTCTCAAACCGTGCCACCTTTTTAGCTTTCACAAAGAGCACTTTGGCTTTGCTGCATTTATTTTGATCATTATTATTTAACGCATACGTACGTATATATATACATTATATATATATGTAAAAAAATCAGTTCTACATACATAAATGTAAGCTTTCGCTTGTATAAATATATAGCCTACAAGCCAGGCCTCTATATATTACACTATGTATATATATATATGTATGTATGGACAAAGGATCTTTCTACTTGCGGCAAGTGTAGAATGACATTAATGCAACCACACGGTGCCTTGTAGAACAACAAACAAGTGGCGGTGTGTCCTTCAGCAGCCTCTCATAATAATTTGCGTTTTATTTGTTTTCTCCTTTTTTTTTTTGTTTGTTTTGTTTTTATTTTGTAGTTATGTTGTCCGACAACTCAATTAACTCTCACACCACTTTCCGACCTTCGCACTTATGTATTTTGTTACCTTTCCTTACTTGTATGTGTGTAATATACGGTATACCTATGTATATATGTATGTATGTATGCATGTATATATATTTTATATTCTCGACGCTTTTTCTACTATTTTGCAGTTGTACCACAACGTCCACGGTTGGAGTATGAGGGCGCACATGTGCCGCCTGGACATAACATCACTATTGACTCAGGCGCTTTGGCAACCGTTAAATGCGTATCGCACTATGGCAATCCACCGGCGACACTTAAATGGTATCTTGGTAAGTAATAAAAACAAGTTTTACGAAATTTCCACAAGTTGCTGTAGCAGTACATACGAGTATGTACGAATATATAGCTGCAGAAAATACAAGGGTTGAGCTGGAAGTATTAATACGAACAACAGTGGCAAGAATATTTAAAATTCCGCCTTTAACAATATATTATATCCAGCGTTAAGAATTTCTTAATAAATTTTTTAAATTTTATTCGAATAGCTTTATTTTCTATGCATACACCAAATCTAACTGCCTATAGGCTTCTAAGTAAACATGAGAGGCTCTCAGTCTCAGTTGCTTCAAGGTTTCATTAAGTAAGCTGGAACAAAAACCATTAAAATGCAGGAGAGAGGTAACAGAAGTACTTTAACACCGGATTTTTCTTTCGAAATTGAAGTCTCTCTCTTCCTCTGCTTCCATTAGTCTTTACTGCATTGGATACTTTCAAATCCCAAGCTATTTTATTCATCTGAATGGCTGAAATACTTTGCTGTCGATATATTTATTTCGGATAGCTAAGCATTCGATCGGCGACGCAAAGCATCATAATCTTCTTCTCACTCGAAAGCTGCTAAAACCAACTCATCGGAGTGATTTTGGTTATGAAGATATAAAAGTTTACGTATGAATTTCCTACTCTTTCTAAGGTATCATCTCCTTTTAAGCTGTTGTTGTTGTTGGCGTCGCCATTTGTTTGATGATAAGGGATCTTACATCTAGTTCTCGCACATTTGAAAAAAAAACCGACCTAACGACGCGTTTGTCGAGACCAATGATATCAGAATTATTTCAGTTCATCAACAGTTACTCTATTAGAAGATTATACCTTATCGTAACCGCACGATGAAGAGTCACCTTGCCTGAAACCTCGTTTAGTATCGATTGTATCGTAGAAGTCTTTTCCGTTTTTTCAAAGCATTCGGTGTTACCTACTCTCAGTGTACATAGCCGCATTATTTCTATGAGAAGAGTCCATGTAATATGGAGGGCTCCTCTTCTATAATATTCTTATGTGTTTCTTTTGAAAGAATGAACACATGTTCAATATCTACTCAATTGTATATTTACCAGGCCGCATTGATCAGGCATCGATCAACAGATCATCTCTTTTGCTCACGATTATGCTCTGCTCTTATAACCTTGTGTTGGTCTGCGTTCTCTTTCAAAAAATATCCGAGCTTCAACTCTGTCAGCTAACTACTCAAATTTCATGTATTTCATGGTATTCGGCGTCTCTCTCCTAATATTTACAAATTCACCTCACTCTACACTTCAACTCTCGGTATTTTTGCCACCCATCGTGCGTAGCGGTCGTTTGCAAAGTTTCCTCATAGGCAGTCTTTTTTTCCACTGCAGTAGGGCGATCAACATCATACCAGTTCTTCTTTTGATTTTGCCAATTTTACTGCTGTACGAAGTGAGCTTGAAAAGCCGTCCAAAGTCCTTTATAAGGAGTAAGTAGAAAGCTGTGTATGTTGGCGGTCGTTCTAAGCTGTACAGAGGCAGCAGCGTATCTTTGCGGCTACAAGATATTAAATCGAGGCTGTATTTTGATCGCGGTACGTACGCGCGTCTAGAAGACGGGATACATATTGCTCGTCTATACCAATATCTTTCATATCGCAGTTGAGCATCTTTTAGGCACCGGTGAAGTCGATCAGACTCAAGCCTTTTGGAGATGTTTTATTATGAGGACTGAGTTTTTCGACTGCTGGGCCGAAGACAGTTTCTTTGCTTACTTTGGCATTGAAGTAGCGGCTGGGCAGATTGCAGATTGTTTGTTTCGGCAAATTATCCTTTTCTTACGTCGTTGCAATCTTTCCAGCTACTTCAACTAATTTCCTCTCTTTTTTTTTTGGTTGTAAAACACCAAAACTCAAGTATTGGCCCACGTTTGCTCTGACAGTTATTCACTTATTTACAGCAACAACTACAACATTTTATCATCACCATTTTAGTTTAGCCTCACATAAACCACGTATGTGGACCCTTATTATTAGTACTGCTATGTATTGTTATTTTTATTATGATTTTTGTAGTTGTTATTGTTTTTATTATTATTTTTTTTTTTTTGTTGTGCTATAAATACATATTCACTTGTGTGAATAATAATCCAACTTGCACACGCAATATAATTTGTTAGTTAGGGCCTTACACACATGCATACTTATATATATATATGTATATATATATTCATATACGTCCATTTGTACAATATAATTAAATAAACCACAAAAAATTCACAGCAAAATAGGTTAATGCTTTAAGTAGTGGTGGTGCAATAAACCTCTTACATAACTCAACATTTATATGAGCACTCTTATGTATGTAAATAATATATTATGTAAGTCACACACCCTCAAACTCATATATTTACTATAGTTGTTTTTTTTTAATTGCTACACGTTAACCCATAATTCCTTTCACTATCGCAGATTCAGCTTTTTCACATAATAAATTACCAACATTAGTTTGTTATTGTTGTTTTCTGAATACATATACTATTTTACTGTCATAAAAAAAACACATTTTAATAACGATTCCCCTTGGTTGCGTTTTTTTTTTTCATTTTTCATTTTTAGGTGACCAAGAGATTCAACCGATTCACCCGCAAATCAACAACACGGAACCGGATAATCCCCGAACTTGGTCTGCCACATCAGTTGTTCAGTTGACAGCGATGCGTGAACGTCATGGCGATATATTGCGGTGTTTGGCCCAACATGAATCGTATACGGCAAAATCAGTGCCTGTTGAGGCACGACTGGATGTGAAGTGTAAGTCCTGCTGTATAAGTAACTGTATAAAGTTTTATTTAACTGTGAATCAGAATCTTTTCAAGCCATTCGATGAAATTTTCTTCTACAATATTTGTCCAAAGCCTCCTTTTAACAATACCAATGAATTCCCTAATGATTGCCTACTTCCACGAAAATCTCTATCTGGATCCTCGAATGATTTTTAACTGCGTTCTGATTTTGCTGTTCTTCCAACTGGTTACAAATAAAAATTTTTAATATTTGTCAATAATAATGAGGAGTTTGTTGCCTTGATCAGCTTGCGCGGCCAACTAAATACTTTAAAATTTTCAAAGAGGTGGCAACCATATTCAAACAAAATTACGAAATCTCTATATTTATACCCACACTGTAATTTTTATTTTATGTTATCAATTTTATAAAACTAAACTTTCAGGCAGGTGGGTGCCCTTTTCAAGAATTATCTTAACGATATAAAAATATTTGATTCTTAAAAAGGTGGCATCACTCAAAAACAATTCCTTTGTAAGCGTACAAAAGTCCCTTTAATTATGTTTCATTAAGATATCATTTAACTTTAATTAATTAGCAATTAAATTTTCAAACAGGTGGCAACTCTGCTCAAAAAATTTCCTTAAGCCCTTTAGGTATAAAACCTATTAAATTTATTCCGATGCACATATGGTAACTTATAATTTATAATTATTAATTATTTTAAATTAAAATTTTCATACAGCTGGCAACACTACTCAAATATGTTTTCTCAATTGCTTGCCTTTGATACCCGTATTTTAATATCTCATTAGCTTGGGTTTTTACACCTCAACTATGGTCAGGTGCTCCCGGCTTATAGAGGCGACTTTTTCACCGTAGCTCACGGCAGCTGAATTGGAGAAGTATAGTTTGTCTAGGGAGGGGGTTGGTAATACAATGAGATGAGATAGTATTGTATGGGTACATGGTGTTGCTACTGTATTAGACGCTAAAGAGGTTGGTGGTAGTTGGCGGCGGTGTGGTATTTGAAGCCGAGAATAGACTCATACATAATGTGCCAACATATTTATTATGTTACACTCCATGCACGAATATAACGCGGGCGAGGTACACTCAAAATTGGCAATAACCAGAGCAAATATTGCGTCTAACGGATACCCTTTCAGATGCATTATGGTCTGAGACACGGAAAAGACAGTGCGTGGTACTAGATGCCGCAGAGTAGGAATAGCTGAGGATGGTGGGATGTATGAAAGCTCCGTTACATTGTCGAGGTCTGTGGCTGGTTACCTAAAGTGATTAATGATGCTTGCAGCTCGAGACAACTTAACATGTGTTTCATTCCCTGTGGGTCTTAGAGCCTAAAGAGGTTTTAAAATAACTCCTGCTACAGATTGCTTCTAACCGCAGCAAAAATATTCCCCCGAACGGGGGTTGGGTTTGACGAGAGCTCGGATAAGAACCATTCGAAGCAACCCTGCTGCAAGGCGTTGGTCTGTTGGTGTACTTAGAAGAAATTTACCTGTTGAATTAAACGGTTTACTTCTGTGCGTAAAACCAGCTGCCGTAAGAATCAATATCTACATCAGTCTTTCTCAACTATGCCTAACCCGACACTTGGTTTAATAATTACCTTTACAAAAAGTCAATGACATTTCATAAAAGAAAAGCATTTATTTGTATTTCATGTTGAGCCCTTCTTGACAAAGTATGACTGTACTAAGTAGTTAGAAGGAACTTGAAAGAACTCAATGTCTGCTTGATTGATATTAATTCTCTAAAAAGTATTCCTGGGAATTGTTGTATATAAAATGTAAATAAATAACTTGACCAAAAAATAACAGAAATTAAGCTGTGGTCAAAATAAAAAGGAGTAAAAAAATATTTAATTTGAGTGGCAAACCTTCATACATACGTATACACTCATATACAGTAAGTGTGTGGTGGCACTAATAACTTTATCCTTTTCCTTGTTAATATATTTCTGTTTGATATAATTTTGACAGCTTAATTACAACAACGACCACAAATCAACGACACACAATTTAATTTACTTAAACTCTGCACTAGCATGAAGAGTGACACAGAGAATCGTATTAGAGTGGTGGTTAGAATAGGTGTTGGACACTTTTTGATGTTATTCGTATAATAAAGACTAATTACTAAAGCAATAGACGCGTGTTGAGGTGGTGGAGAAGGAGAATAAAGAAGAGTGAAAGTAGTAGCATATACATACTATCTCTAGTTGATCGTATAAGGGTTGTTGCCCTCTTCAATTAAATAATTAGGATAATTTATATAAAAAATTAAGTTAAATTTTCTAATTGCGATCGCCTCTGGGCATGTAATGTCAACCCCTCCGAGTGTAGTTCTGACATGAAATGAAGGCTCCTCATAAAAAACCATCCGCCGTTCAGAGACGGATTAGTATAAACTATGGGCCGCCCCATTTGCTGGTAAAACATCAAGATGCAAGACCGCAAATTGCAGAAGGCGCTCAGCCGAAAATCGCTCAGCGGCTACAAAGTGCTTGATTGTTTATATAGAATAGGCTTGAGAGTCTAACGAAATACCACAGAAGGTTACAGAAGTCAACTATAACTATTATTTACTCGTTTGCCTTGCTGGTCTTATCCTTGGAAATAATCAAATCAAGTAATTTAAATTCTTGGTATGTTTCGAAAATGTCCACACACACAATAGGACTAAGGATATCCGGGTAATTGCATTCGCTAATCTCTAATTTTAATAAGCAATAATATAATTAAACTATCACTAAACAATACAACAAAACTTTCATTGTCCTGTATAAACAGCTAAATCGTTGCCACGAAACAACGTTATTATTGTATGAGCGAAGAAATTCTATTAAATTAATTTTTCGCTTCAATGAAAGCTTACCTATTGTACGCGTATGTGTCACACACATCACTGGATAGTAATTGCCCAAAATACAGTTACTTCCTTATGCGCTGACTGTGGACCACATCAATCACGCTAAGCCGAGTAGTAAGCCACAAATCAGCAAAAACTCACCACACACCGGCGGCGAGAAATATGGTACGAGAGTGGTTTGATAAGTTTGTGATTTTAATTTTATTTGGTGGGCAATAACTTTAATTTAATAAGGCTTTACGGGTTCAATGATTGCAAATTGTTTAATGATTTTTGAAGTGATGAAAAAGAAGGAATTTGAAGCTTTCAGATTCAACGGTGTTTCAAAAACAAGCCCCTCGGACCCTGCGGGTGTATTTCTGACATGAAACAAAAAGCTCCTCATAAAAATCGATCAACCGTTTGGAGGCGGCTTAGTATAAATTATAGGTCGTTCCATTTGTTGGAAAAACATCAAGACCCAAAACCACAAATTGGAGTAGGAGCTCGGCTGAAAATCGCTTCAGGGGTTACAAGCGCCAGATAATATATATATATATATGTATATAACGCTTCAAAACTCCAAAAAAAAAATCGCAATTTAGTTTTGCTTCCTTAACTTTTTGTTGAAGTGTAGCTTCGTAACTTCTACTGTAGTCATGTTAGCTCAAGTTCAAACCAAAGAGTTTATGAGGTCAGAAATCATTGAGAAAATCCTTGAAATAATATTTTATTAATGTAGAATAAAAGCATGTGAAATGTATGCCGCTGTAGACATCTCAGCTGAGCAGATGCGTCACATTTTACCTAAATCTTTGGGCATGTAAAAGTTATACTCATGATGAGTGCTTTACTACTTTACAAAAGTGTTTGACGAATGGAATTTCGCACCATTTCGTTAACATAAACGAACACGAAACCCTTGAACAAATAACAGAACAATCAAGGTGTTCACCGTGCACCAAAGTCAGCCAAGGTGGGTCTGTTGGCTAATGGGATTACTTACGACCACAGTTTGTTGGGATGTAGGTGGTGTCAAACAAATTTATTATTTTCTGAAGACTAAAGCGATGTGTCCGCGAATATGACTCAGAGCTTTTGAATAGATTCGATATGGCATTGAAGCATAAACGGCCACATTTAAAGAAGAAAAAAATGATTTAAGAAAATATACGGAAATGCATGTTGAGCTTCAAACTGCCAGCTCATTCAGCATATTCTGTAAATTAGGTTACACCCAACTAGCAATATCCTGTTTCTAAATCTGAATAAAAAATTCTAGCACGAAATACGGATCGAATGAAGTGATCGTCATTGAATCAAAGGTCTATTTGTGGATTACAACAAAAGCTATTAAATTTGAAAATAGTGGGAAACTAGAAATAGGCTGGTTGAAAATAATAAGTAAAATATATTTTATTCAAAAAGTCACTAATTTGACAAGCTAGCCTCGTAGTTAAGAGTATAAATATTATTATTGTACATTATATATATATATATTCTATATAATGCACTGTACCCTTAAGCCAGATTGTCTCAACCGCACAATCACATTGCTTTTATGTGTATGTATACATCTACACGTATGTACGAGTATATAGCCAACATTTCAATTTGGCCATCAGCCAAAGGAAAGCCAACAAATTTGATCAATCGCCTTATCCCCATACATGCACACACAAACGAGCGTGTGCAAACGCCCAGCGCAACAGCACCGCAAGAGTGTGATCCTTTAAAACCTTTTTGGTGGCTACTTTACCTTGTTTTCATTTCATTCGTCGGCAACAGCGACGCCAACTCCGCTGCGGCCACAGGGAAAATCAATTAAATTAACTGTGAATTTACACATTTCCGCGACCGCGTTACCAATTGCCAGTGCGCGTTGTTCGTGTAAGCTAACATTTATGGATTTTCGGTTTTTCACTTGTATGCGCGTGTTAGTGTAGGTGAGGAGGCAGTGTGTTTGTACGTTGCCTACGTGTCCACGCCACATTTTGACTTTGTTTTGCTCTCCTGCTTTTATTTATCTTTAATTTTCTAGCTATGAATTATTGCTTAATTTTTTTTTTTTTGTATATTTTAGCTTAATTCCTTGTGTTTTCTCTTTGTCTTCTATTTTAGTTCGTTTTCTTTTATTTGCTTGCCTTTTTGCTCTTTCTTTCAACTGTAAAACGGATTGGCACAAATCCTTTAACCGTAACAATTTTATTGCTCTCTTAACGGTTTTATTATTCTTGTCAATACCCTTAACTTCGCCCAGGTGCCGTCGCCGTAGCCGTCGCCGTCGCCGTTAACCGAACGGCAGGGGAATTTTTATTATTGTTATTATTGATACAATTTTATGGTTTCTTTGCTTACTATTCTTATTATACTGTTGAGTTGTTTATATTTTCTTACCTTTTCCACATTGTCCGCTTGCAGATGCGCCAACCATCCGTCTAATTGGCTCGCCGGAAATCGACTTAGAGGAGGATAAGGATGCGCTTATCCTGCGTTGTGTTGCCGATGCCAATCCACCGGCAAGTATTGTTTGGCGGCGTGCGGGTCGTTCGGAAATCGCCAGTTTGCAGGTGAGTGCAACTACAGAAAAATTACTAAATATTTTGTATGAAGAAATATATGAAACACGGGGCAAAAACAACATGGGCTTAAAGGTAGATTACGTATATTATATATATATATAAATATATATGTATATATGTTATTTATTATTATTTTCGGCTAAGCGTTTCTCTTGCAGTTGATTCTAAGCCACCTTCAAACAGCCGAATCTAATCAATTTATTTGGTTTCAAAAACACTCTCGGTGGCCTAACATTTCCTGCCGGGACTTTGCTAGCTACTCGTCATTTATGACCGCCAAGGTGGAATGTGGTTTGGCCTTAAAGGGCATAGGACCGCCGCGGCTGGCTCGAATAAATTCCAGCCGAATCAGCTTCATCCCATTCAGACAATTATGGCTTGACCATTAACTGTAAAAGCGATTTGTTTGGTGGGTTGATTGAAGGAGAGGCCTTATGGTCCTGATCGCAAACGGCCGCATGTAAGCTTTTGAGCAGATGCATTAACCTCTATCAAGTAGCCCAACTAGACACTTGTGAAAACTTCGCTTGATTGATTTCGTCTTATATCTCTTCCAACCATGTATATCCACCTCCATGAAGTTGATGTTGGGAGAATAGTAAAAGATGAGACTTCTAAGCCAACTGCAGGCCAGCCACTCGCAAAAGTAGAGCTCCAGCGCACAATTGCCTTTACCTAGCTTATGGCGCTGATGTCTCAGAGGCAGACGGCCTATTAATACACCCATTAGGATGTTGAGTTCTCTTAAGCTTCATGCAAGTTACAGTTGGTATGTTCACTATCCACGCTTCCCCACAATAATTTAGTGGTATGATCCACGTTGGAAGAGTTCAAAGGCCTTAAGTGTTTATCTATGGTCGAAAGCTTTTAACAGCATTTGAGGGCGTCGTTAGTAACAGCATCGCTAGCGTGAGAGAGCTCGTCTACCTTTTCGTTGCATTCTATAGCCGTGCGACCTGGGACCGCAATAGAATGATAGTCACTCTGCATGTTTTAACACCCATCTGGACTTGGCCACTTGACTGTCTAACAGAGACCTGATGGATTTTTTTCCATTATCCTTTTGGCACCTTAAGTATAGCCCCTACTGACCAAAGACTCCCTCTGACCAAAACGAAACCCAACTGGTTTTGAATCCTTTCACCGAACCTGATATGACCTTGATGCTCATTGTGCTTCAATTCTTGCACGACTTTGATTCTGTACGCCCACAAACAAAAATCATTTAGTGAATTCTTTCATAAAGTGGATAGGAATCAGAGCTGCAATATAAATAACTGCAGCAATGTGGATTCAGCTAAATATCTAGTCTATCAGAATGAATATCAGTTTGATAATGACCAGCCAGAACCTCCAGTCAGTTTCCTTGAACATACCTGGTTTTCTTTAGGCTGAAGTACCTCACAACCTCGCACGTGCAGTTGAAACTCGTAGAGCTGTATTATGACTCACCAGATTTCTAGTTGACTAAGGATGCCCTACTTAACGAAGCATTGTTACCCATACTGATTCAGTACCTAAATTATTTTTGCCTTGAAATAGATCGACTTAATGGAAAAACATCAAGACGCAAAACTGCAAATTGGGAGGCGCTCGGCTAAAGTTTGCCGCAATATTATATATGTACATGTATCCATGCCACATGTGCTGATTGTGAGCAGTATATCGCTGTTTTAAAGCTTACTCTGAATGAAATCAGCTCAAGCACAGTAACCCTAGCGTAAAAAATTTTTTAATGGTCTAGAAGTTTGAGCACCCGCTGATAAATAATTATCTATGGAAAACTCCCACGCTAGGCTTTCCACCGTCTTGATTTTTTCAGAACTTTCGTGGGAACATTTTGTTGAAGAAGCGCTCACTCGGCGCCAGCTCGGAGATAGAGTATTCCGTGTATTTGAGTATAAAGTAAAAAAAAAAGCGGAATTTTACACATTTGATCCTATCACATATCCAGACTGCGTAAGCACAGCTACGACCTTTGCTATTTTAGGCCTACCTGTAAGATTCCCAAGTCCTCTCTTGACGAACGAAAACCAAACTCTACAAGACCCTCATCTTTCGCGTCCTGCTATATGATGCGGAAGCATGGATGATGACAACATCTGATGTGTCAGCGTTTGCAATTTTCGAGTGAAAGGTTTTGCAAAGCAGACGATGGAACGATGAGCTTGTACGAGTTATACGGCGAAATTTATTCAGTTCACCGAATCAAGAAGCAGCGGCTACACTGGCTAGGTCATGTGATCCGTATGAATGCGAATACTCTAGCTTGGAAAGTTTTCGATGTGGTACCCGCAAGCAGAGAAAGGGGAAGACCTCCATTCCTTTGGAAAGACCAGGTAGAGAAGGACCTGGCTGTTCTTGGTGTTTCCAATTGGCGCCATATAGCAAAAAGAAGAAACGAATGGCGCAATGTTGTTGAATCGGCTATAATCGCGTAAGCGGTGTCTACGCCAGTAAAGTAAGTAAGAAAAATTTCCATGCATTATACTCCGTGTTGTAATATTCACCACCCAAGCTGCTGTGGGTCATGATGCACCTCGGATAGTGATGAGAGCCGCACGATTTTCAGTTGAAACCTTAGCTAATGTAGCTCTTTCTCCGTTCCGTTCATAAAGCAGTTAAAAGTAAAATTGCCACTTTCACTAAGCGAAAGCTCTCGCAGCTCTTTATTGTTAACGGTCCCACATCAATTTTTATCTCCGATTTTGATTGATTGATGGAAAAACCGCTTCTGAGACTATACGTAATATAAATTACTATTGCTGAAACGATTTTTGGCTAAGTTCCTCTTCCAATTTATGGTGAGCTCTTGATGTTTTTCTTACAAATAGAGACTCTAATCTTCCCGGTAAATAAGACTACTTTGCTTTCATGGCTACACCAGCCCAAAATTTATTGTTTCATATATTTTATTACCACTGTAACCACAGCGGCTTTCGAACTGCTTCGACTTTATTTATTGTCTTATTTTCATTTATTTGTAATCTCCATTTTTTTACAGGAAACACTGCAACTGCGTCCTGTTGGCCGCCGAGATGCCGGTCTATATACGTGTCAAGCGCAAAACTCTGTAGGCACCTCAGAGCAACTATCAGTACAACTGGACGTTAAGTGTAAGTTGATTTACGTTAATTTGTACGCCTCACTCTTTTCCTTATATTTCCATGTTGACTCTAACATAAAGCCACATTTTTCGTTTTCTCTTTTAATTCTTTTCATTTCCCCCCTCCACAGATCCACCGAAAATTGTCTCCGCCGGTCCAGATAGACTGACAACGGCACCTCTATTCAGTCCAGCTGCATTTGAATGTGTCGCCGAGGGTAATCCCATGCCGAGCTATAAATGGGTGCAAAGGTAAGTGCTGTTGATGTAAACGCTCTGAAAATATTGATACATCTAAAGTGCAAGTATATACATACATATTTACAGTTATTTAGGTGGGTTTAATCGAGTTTATTCTGCTGGTTTCTCACGCAAACGCTCCACTGGCGATGACTGCTCGACACAGCCATACGCATTGCTTTGAGGTAATCTGCTTACCACGAAGCCATTACTCACTTCCCACTAAATCAGGGTACAGCAGCGACAACGCCAATGCCTGCAAAGTTGAGGTCAATTTCAAATTTCAACATTTTTTGGCGTCACTCAATCTCTGCACAACCGGCTTATGATTCGCCTACAAAATGGCAATAACAGTTTTTTTCTTTACCACAAGCCAGCGCAAATCCAGCTTGCGGCTACTTCAACGTAATCTCTATACACGCACTCACATTCTCAAACCTCATAACCAGTCAGGTAAGCACATCTGTACCGCTGTACATGCTGTGCCATGCAAAATTTTCAATTTCAATTTTCATCCTGCTGCAACAACTCTCAGACTTTTTCTTGTAAACGAATTTTGCAGCTTTTTTTTTGGATGTCTGCACTTGTGCAGGTGATATTTTTTGAGAGCCTGAAGGTATCTCCGCTGATTGTTAGTGCAGTCTTCACTTCGTTAGGCGCGACACATTTGCCTGTTGGCCGAACTGTCTATCGCCAATTTTCTGTGTGGGTTGCGATTGAGAGTTTGTGCAGGAAAGTGCCCACAGCATCAGTGGAGGTGAAAATTGTTGATGCTCTTTAGCTATTTGGTTTTTGTCCAACAATTCTCACCAGGCGGAGAGTCAAAAGGTGAGGTGAGATGGGAAATCAAAATAGTCAACCTTTTTCGGAATGAAAATCGGTGTGAAGTTTTATCAGAAGTTGATGAAATGATGACAAAAGTGACAAAATTCTTAGAGCATTGCAGCACAATTCCTTGTCTCTATATATTCACACAAAGTCAAGTAGAGATGAGTTCTTTTCATCATGATGGCAGTGATTTGGCAGGCAGCGTAGCTAACGAACGATCGGGCAACTGCTTTGTACGTTGTCAGTAAAGTTTTTTTGAGGATTTTTTTGCGAAGGAGTTTAGGCTATCGAATGAGACTTCCAGTATTTTTTGCGTTTTTAAAACCGGAATTCCGATGCTGTCAACTTTCACATCGGGCTCGATCCTTTACTCTATCGTCCAGCTGGGTAGCTAAAGATTTTGTGGGTTGCAATCTTAATTATCTTGCAGCGAAAATATGGGAAAGGTCATCGAGATCACATTTTACTTTCGAACATAAGTCATAAAAATCCTGATCAGACACTAATATCGAGCAATCATAGGCATATGAGATCAGAAAACTCTTTTGTAGTGTAGTGAAAGAGGAACCCATTTTTGAATCTTTCGGAATTCCAATACTTCTTAAACTCCACCTTTTTTTGACGAAATGAGATCCTGTCACTTTTCGGTAGGTCAATTTTTTACCCTCTAGGAAGATTTGCAGAGATCGAAGAAACTGGTTCGATGACTTTATCATACTGGACTATATAGTGGTTATATAAAAACTACCCAAAAAAGCTCTGTCAATTTTTGCATGGTCATCAGAGATTTATGTAGTCTGGCATTATCAAGATGGAGCACAAGAACTTTTGCCGTAAGCTACTCACTGGTTGACAGTTGACAGTTTGCCCTCAATTCAGGCTTTAAAGTCCTCTATTTGTTTACTGCGATGAGATGCTTCGAACTAGATCGATTTTGATCACAACTCGGTCGATTAATATTGGTTAATAAATGTTCTTCTTTGAGTAGTCAGTCTTGCTTCACAAGTTGCAGCATGTTATCGGCTGGCCGACTAGAATAATATGCAGCTCTGACATCAAAATTTCTGAAACGGAATCCAGCAAACCACTCTTGGAACCGACGTTTACTTCAAATCATTTCACAGAAGCAGTATGAATTTTTGGCACAGTTTTACAAGACTTTTAATAGTGAAGAAGCATTCTTAACTAATTTCGTCGGAAATTTCATTTTTTTATAAGTTAATAATTGTTTACATAAATTAAAATTCTTATTGCGAAAAATTCCATAACACAGTATGATTGGATATAACAGTGTCAGTAAGTGGCGAAAAAAATCAAGACTCGGCAGAATATATTGAAATAGTTCTTTCCATTGGATCCGATAATGATGACATTCAATTCATCTCCTGTTGGCAAAATTTGGCCGCTTCTGGGCGAAATCAACAAAACCAAAGTTCATGCACAGCATTGACTTTTACAGTATCAGAACCACAAGCTCTATTCATAATTTTAGCTGCTTGTCTTGCCGTGTCGCCTTTATAGGACGTGAAGTACACGTCATTAAAGCCAACTATTGCAAAAATAATGGATTTAACTTTCGACTAAATGTTTCTCATACGACATGGCGAACCCTTTTTATTTTAAGAGTTGTTATAATTCAAAACTTCCTAAACGTATTAGACTAATTTTTGACAACACCGATGTACCGATGTCAATTAAAAAAAACATCTCATAAATATAAAAACTTTTTTTTGGAGAAAGATTTATGTCAAATATAATCACTTCTGCTGTAAATAGCAATATTTAATAATATCACAACTTTTTTAGAAAAATTAAAATCTTTTCACACAAAATAACTATTGAGGAAAGAAGATAAAAAACTTTGTAATTTTCCACATAATTTTATTAATATTAAAGAATCAATCAATCATAATAATAAAATTAATATTTTTTTAAATTTATTTTGTTTACTTATATTTTTTTCTGTAAATAAAACTAAAATAAAATGTTTGAGGAATAAAAATTATACTTCAAACAAACTCACTAACTCTAAGGAATACATATCCATTTTTTGAGCGAGGACGACACCGCAGTGCAACATTTGATTGTCCTTAGGGTAGATACATCGACAGTACAAGGAGGTTTTGGATAGGCTTAATACCAAAAGATTCATTCATTCATTGATAGACATTACAAAATTATTAGAAAAATGTGCCAAAAGAAAAATATTCTGCTTTTATATTTTTAAACTCATTCCTTCTTATAGTTAAAACAGATCACTTATTCCCACAAATTTCTTTATTCTTATTCATACTTATATTCATACTCATATCTATCATCATTTTCATACTTATATATATTATTCATATTCATACATCCGTAAACAAATTCATACTCATTTTCATATCTATATTCATTAATATATTAATATTCATATACGTATACATATAAATATTGATATTCATACTCATATACATATTCAAATTCACATTCATACTCATACATATATTCCTATCTATATCCATATGCATATTCTTATTTTTACTTCTATTTAAATATATGACCATTTACGTCATATTCATATTCATTCCCATACATATGCAAGCTCTTCAAATTACTGCATTTTATTACTCATACGCCATGTGATACAAATTAAACTGTCTAATTAGCAACAACTCCGAGTTTCTTATTAACCGTGTATTTTGCATCATTTATCTGTCGAGTATGTATTCCGCTCATTTACGTGGAATTACACGCTTTACGCATAGCTTACATCTGCTGTGGTTCAGATATATTTTTAAATCAACAATTTAAGATACCACTTGCTGTCATTTAACTGCAACTGTCGTTTGCAACGGCAATGAAAAATTTAAATGTAAAAAGAAAACATTTTAACATAATATTTACCTATGAAACCGACACGAAGAATTAAATTCGTTTTACAGTGCAATAAAAGAAAGACATACCTTTGTGCGTATATTATACACACCTTACATGTACATATATATGTATATGGATTTTCATGTATATAATACATGTATACGTGTGCACCTGAGGTAAATGCGAGTTTTATACATTCGTCAACCGTATTCTCACAGCTTGTTTCCGCTTCCTGTTTGCGGTTTTGCACGCAGCAACAACATCCGCTGTCGTGCTGTTGTCTGTAGGTGCGCTGCCGCCACAGACAATTTCGACTCCATTTCACATTTCACATTTTATTTATTTTAGTTTTGTATATCTTATGTTTTTTTTGTCGATTTCAGAGCAAACATTCCTTTTCACAACAATACTAGAATTGTCTTTGTATTTCCTTACTCGTGTAATGAAGAAAATTTGCAAATTTTTTCATTTTATTTGTTTACATCGTTTGATCACGATACGCCTACGCCTGCAGTATTTTATCGTTCTTGCTGTACGATTTTTAATTAGTAGCATCAGGAAATTGTGCACCAACACAAACGATGGTTACTTTCTTGAAAAGGAATACAATGACTTTGGTTATCTACCAGGAAAATATTTGTGGTTGAATCAAAAGAAGGAAGGAAAAAAATTCAGCACAAAAAAATTATAGTGTGTGTTTTTTCTCAAGTAAAATACCTTCAAGCTTCATGTACTGGAACTAAATCTGATTAACATGTAAAAAATTAAAATAAATTTTTAATATAAATCATAAAAGATTTCACGTTTCATAGACAGAAACAGATGGTAATCACTATGTACTCTCATAGCTTTAGGTGCTTATGAATCGCAATTAACCTCCTTTTGGCAAAATTTGGGCGCTTCTGGGCGATTGTTTCTTTCAGGCGGTCCAATTGCTTGGCTTCCAACACTGTAAGAACATTTTTCGAAATCAACAAAACCAATTTTCATGCACAGCATTGACACATTTTCAGCTGCCTGCCTTGCCGTGTCGCCTTTATGGAAGAAAAATTGTTGAATCAAGCGTAATTGGCATGCGCTCAAGCACAACTGAGTTCAAAACATCGTATCTCTATCATCTATTCTAACGTCATCTAGGATTAGTGAATCGCATTTATGGAACGTGAAGTACAGGTCACTAAAGCCAACTATTGCAAAAATAATAGATTTAACTTTCTATTAAATGTTGCTCATACGACATGGCGAACCTTTTTTATTTTAAGAGTTATTATAATTGAAAATTTCTTAAACGTATTAGATTAATTTTCGAGGGACTGTAATACATGACAGTGAGGTGTACAACAACACTGTGCCGATGTTAATTCAAAAAAAAACTTCCAATAATTATAAAAACTTTATTTTTGGATAAAAATTTGTATCAAATATAATGACTTCACTGCAAAAAAAATAACTTTTAGAAAAATTAAAATCTTATTACACAAAATAACTATTGAGGAAAGAAGAACAAAAAACTTTATAATTTTCCACATAATTTTATTTATAAAATGTCACTTAGAGGTTTTATTTTAAATTATATAAAATATATTTTTAATGAATATTTTTTAATTTATTTTGCTTACTTATTAATTTTTTTTTTCTGTAAAAAAAAACTAAAATAAAATGTTTGAGGAATAAAAAAAATTATACTTCAAATAAACTCACTGACCCTAAACAATAAATAATATTGTATTAATATAGTATATTATGATGTAAAATATAAACAAAAATTTGAAGTTTGCAAATTTCTTTTCTTTACTATTTTACTCACGGAGAGTATATTATTCAATTATTGTTTCTGACAACTATTCCAATTCGATGTATAATTGACATTAAAAATATAAATTTTTTTTTAATAATTTTATGATAATATTTTTGGCGCTATGTAAGCGCTGAACTGAAAACGATCCTCAAAATTTGAGCTCTTTTTGATCAAACCCGATCGCAGCGCTTATAGAGCAATTCTTATGGCAAAAAATAAAGGAATAAATAAGCGTAGCAAGAATAAATTAATACACACATCACGTGCACATATGAGCAATGAAGTAAATAACGACTTCAAGCAATGACGAAACACACTCCATCGCTCAACGAAAATTACACACTATATGCAGACATACATAACTGCTCATACATACACTCTTATTACGAGCTAATTAGTATGCAAAGCGATAAATGAGTTAGAATGAAGGAAAAAGTAACAAGTAAAAAGGAAAAAAGAAAACCACAGCGATAGCAGCAATCGCAACCGCAGCAACAGCAACCAACCGCAAAAATAACAAAAATATATGTATATAATACAATCGGGTAAATAAACCACACACACCTACACAAACACACACTCAATATATATCTTTTTGTGAATTTTTTATTTACTTCCGTCTACGTGTAAATAAATATTATTGTGGCCAAGATAAACATATGTAATTATGAAAGTTCTGTTTATTGCATATATACGTAGGTGTATAATTATTTGCTATGAATTCACAATGAATTTGTACTCTACCCACTACAAGCCTTCGGAAAGAAGAAAGCCACAACTGTCATGGTAGATGAATACGATATTTTAGGCAAAAACTTAATAATTAACATTAATATTGTCTACCCTGATATAAGCTAAGAGAAAACACGTTAACGGGTCATTTGTAACCACTGGGGTTATTGTAGGTCGAGCTCCTGCTCTAATTTGTGGTATGCGCCTTCATTTTTTTCGAACAAAGGAGGTGGCCTACAGCTCTGCCAAAAAGTTGTATAATCAACAGAACTCAAGCAAACTTGTATGTGAACCACATTTAATAACTACCAAAATTAACTGAAACAAATCTCGATGTAGACCTACCATTCATATAACAGATCTCTTATGTTTACTCGACCTGCTAACTTTCGTCTATTGAGGGCTTGTGCGGCATTGTGTATGCAGCCTTCAGCTGTTGTGCGAACTGGACTTTATATGATACAAGCCCAAGTGAAAAATGCGCCATGATATGCTGGAAGAAAGCTCAGCTCTTGATAATGCCGAAAAAAGACACATTCAGAATACCCTTCACTTGCAATGGCGATTTTTGAGGTGAAACGAACAAAACGATGATGCAAAAACCTTTCTATAATCGTGACCAATCCAGTCTCTTCAAATGTCTTTAAAATTTTACCAATGGCTTGGGAAGTTGGACGATTTGAATCTCTCTCTTTTCATAGTGAGTTTCAACAATTTGAATGCCTTGCGTGGTATTAACTGATCCATTTTCAAAAATATCTGACTTTAAACTAAAAAAAAAACATGTTTGGTTTGACAAATATGTTTGACAGATGTCTAAATGCAGCCCTGTACTTTTGAAACCAGCTTTATTAAAGGTTCAGCAGTGTAACAGGTATAAATATGTTTCCTTAACTAAGCAATTCGTTGATGGCTCTTTACTCATTTAAAAAATTTATTTGATTAAAAAATCAATCAGAAATAATACATATCTACACACTCTCGATTGTTTTGAAGCTTTTACAAGAAATTTTATAAAATTTCGAAAAAAAAACATTTTCCGAGAACCCACCCGGATCGGTGAAATATTTAAATACTTCTTCATTACATATGGGCACGACTACGTTCAAATGATTCCGACCACTGATTTCTAACAAAAAAAATTTAAAAACAAACAAGAAATTTTAACAGTAAAAGTCAATCATGGGTTTATTGCTTAATGATTTTAAATTCCTCTTTTTTCCACCGCCGTGAATAGTGATAGCCTTATGTGCCAGTTACACACATAAGTACATATGTATGAGTAAATATGAACAGATTAAATTTACCATTTGTTCGCAGATATACATTTTTACTTCACGTTCATTTTGGCACTTTTTTTATTGCTATTTTTCCAGAATCGCTCATGGCTCGAAATTTGTTGAACGCGGCAGCGAATCAAGGCTTGTCATCGACAATGTTACATACGATTTTCAAGGTGAATACGAATGCCGCGCTACAAACTATATTAACGGACAAGAGCGCGTTGCCGTATCGGACGCAATTTCATTGCAAGTTGTGGGTAAGTACAACAAATAATAGTTGATAAATAAAAAGTGTTTAGTTTTTATGAATATCCAGGCTTGCACTGTCCCAGCCAATAATTTTGAGATCATGTTTGCTTTGAAAACGTCTACACCCAAAGTTTGATTGAATCTGTAGAGCAACCTTAAACAAAAAATATTCAAAAATACACGCAGCTAATGAGGTTCACTTGTTTTCCATGAGTAGTTAATGTTAAATAATTATATTTAATGATTTAAAAAAAAGAAAATAGAATATTCGTACTAGTAAAATAGCAAAACTCTCTGCAGAAAGTTGGAAGAAAGCAAAATTGGTTTCGCTACCAAAACCTCAATGGAGAGTAGCGCAAGTACCCATTTACGCATATAGAACACATTCACTTTGAATTAAATATTGAAAACTAACCTTGGGAAATTATTTTCTGACATACTTCATAGTATTGAGAGTTGATTTAGTATCAGGTGCACAACTTTGCTTCCGCCGTTTTTTTCCAAAATTAAATGCTTACAGATATATTATTCAAAGTATTGTGCTTCGCTAGCGACAACTTTTTCCCATCTCTGCGGCAATTTTTGGATCCTGGGTCGAAAAAAGGAGTCCTTCTTTGACGCTATCCATGAAACAATCCATTTTTCCAATTCTTCGAAGGATTGAAAATGTTGATCTGCCAGGCCGTGTGCCATCGAACGGAATAGGTGGAAGTCAAAAGAGGCGACATCTCGGGAAAACGGCGGTTGGGGCAAGATTTTCCATTTCAGCGTTTCCAGGTACTTTTTGACTACTTTTGCGACGTGAGGCCGAGCATTGCCGTGTTTTTTAGCGCGCGACTAAAGCGCATCAGTTGCGTTCGGTAGCGATCTCCTGTGATGGTTTTATCCGGTTTTAAGAGCTCGTAGCAAATCACACCGAGCTGATCCCACCAAATCTCTTTCACCACCATGTTTGTCTTCGACATCGAAATCACCATTTTTAAAACGTTGAAACCCCTCCCGACACGTTCTTTCACTCAGAACAGCATCACCGTAAGAGAGCATTCGATGCGCTTCAGCTGCATTTTTTTTTTCGAATTGTAACAGAAAAGTAAAACTTCCCGCAAATGGCGAGAATTAGGCACAGAAACCGACATTTTCGAGCGTGAATAATACGAAAACAAGAACAACTGTCACTGAAACGGTGATGACAATTCGTTAGGCACTGTCCCAACTCACTTTAAAGGCATTTTCATCTATGTATTTCAACGAGCCTCAGCCGGTACAGCCAATATTTACCTTTTAGTTCGACTTGGTATTAATCATAAGCTCGAAAGATTTTGTACTGGACCGTCTCACTGGAACTAACACTTAGCCATTTTTTTTTTGGGCTCATCAATTTAATCTCAGTAAGGTTCTTTCCACAATTTCACTGATTACAGAGAGAGCCGGCTCTAGTGCGTTTAACACGAACTTGCATAAACTACTACCTTCGCTGCTGAGCTGCTAAATCTTACAATCCTTCGATTATAATCATCTATAAACTATGAAGTCTTTGCTGGCATGTGACTGAGTATCAACGATTGTGCCTTTTGCCATATTATTGAGGGTGCACTCAATGTCTAAGAGATTCGCTATTGGGTATTGTTTCTTCTAGAAGGGTTTTTCTATTATGCTTATTACTTCATGCTTATTATCTCTGTTGATTGGCCTTTAGGTATGCATGTTGAGCCTTTGATCGAGTGGTTACCATTAGAAATAAACTCATACAAATGAATGTTGAAACTTATGACGATGTACATAAACAGTCTCATTGACTACGCAGTGTGAGCAGCGGTATACTACGAAGTACTGGAAAATCAGATCTCTTTGCATACAAACTCAGCTACCATCTTTCAATTGGAAGTGTTATAGGAAACACGATAAAGATGTCAGCTTTATATACAGATAGTCAGGCGACACTGTTGAGCCTATCGCAGTCAATGATAAATCCAAGTGTGTACACGGCGCTCATGAAATGAACCATGAAATGGATAATCCTATACAATGTGGATATTATGCTGAAGTTATTTAGGGAATGAAAATACATTTTTTTAAAGCATTCGCTGTTTAAAACTTTTAATTTAAAGCCTAATAACAATAAAAATCTATCAGCTGGGTTTGAAAAAAATTTTGAAGATTGTTGCAGCCTGTTCGAAAAATTTAATGTTATGACTCACGAAGTTTCTCTGGGAATTATATAATATTTTTGATTATTCCTGCCACATGCTCTGAATGTTCAATGATTTTACCTGAAAAGAGTTTTTATAAAATATTTAATACACTTTTCTGAAGTAATGCAATGGAAAGGTTAGTTTTCATGAAATATAAAATTAATTTTTTTTTTCAATATTTCTTTTGGTGTTCCGAACGCACACCTTAGTTTATATACATATACGAGTGAGTCTATAAAAGCTGACTTTGCATAATATTGTATATGTACTGTCTGAACAATCCTTTATAATCGCCATATTGCTTGGACTGATGTTGCAACACCACTACCACTTTTATACACATACATAGTATATATATGATGCAACTACATACTGGCACATGCGGCTATGTACATACGCATTGTAACATATATATTTGTGTTGCTAAACTGTGGTCAGATGTAGCAGTAGCAACATTACAAAAAAAAAAAACAGTTTCGAAGCGCAAAAAAAAACATGTAAACTGTAGAAACAAAAATAGAAACAACAACAACAATATGCTTGATAAACCGCACAACTAACAAACTCAACTTCCAAGTTAAGCCAACGGAGCAGAAAATTTATCTGTTTGCAAGTTCAAATGTGAAAATGCAAGAAGAACACAACAATAATAACAAAAACAAGTGCAATGCAATTGAGCAATACTGAAAAACGAGTGCAGCAAACACAAATGGAAAGAAAGGTAACGGTTTTTTTTTTTTACTCAATTCCACACATTTTGTTGTTGTGCAAGGTAAAGTTTGCGGCAAAAGCAACAGTGACTTACCACCGAAACATTTGTTGCTTGTTGCAAGTAGTTTTCGGCATTACTGTTGTTGTTGTTTTGTCCAGTATCAGCTCATAAATTATGCGTGTGGCATCGCACAGTAAATTTAAATATTAAGCTTCTTTTTTATTTTGAATTTATTTTTTTCATGAAATTATTGTTTTTGTTGGCATTTTTTTGGTGTTGTTTTTTTTACATTTGACTTTTCGGTCACTGCGAATTTTTTTTTTTTTTTTTTTTGAGGTAAAAGAGCAGCTTTTAAGCTTTTGTGCTTATATTTTGTCTCTTTATATATGTGTGCTCGTATGTATTTTTAGCAATTGGATTGTGCAGTTCGTAACCCATTTGCTCAGCTTATCCCAGCCTGATTTACGTATACGCTTGAATTGTGTTTGTTGTTGTGTATGGTTTTTAAATAAAACCTGACTCGCATTGTGTTTTACGAGGTTGTATGCAACATTTATTCATTTTGACAACAAACAACATGGTATTTGTATATGTGTATGTACACACGCAGGTGTCGTTTGTTTTGGGCATATGTTAACAACTCTAGTTGCAATGGTCAACATGTAATACTTTGCCCACATTCGTTAAGAAAAACTCAATATTATTGGCCGGTGAAAAGGCCTCCCTGCAAATTATTAAATTTACAGCAGACACAGACAAAATTACAAGTTCAAAGTAGAAAAAATCGTATGTTTCCAGTCTTTAATTTTAACTGATTCAAAAAAAATTTAATGCAAGCTACTTCCCGACAAGAATTACAGACTAGGAAGACTCGGAAGAGAAGACTTTTTTCTTTTCCAAGAATAACTCTTGATACTTTGGGCTCGTTAGGGAATTGAAAAGTGAAGTCTCTCCAACGAACTAAAATTACGCCGTGTAACTCGCTCACCACATCCGTCTTTCTGTATGGCGCATAAACGTAGATGATGCTGAATAAAAATAACAATAATCCAAGTACATTCGAGAGATCTATTCTACGCAAAATCTATGGACTTGCCCGTGTAAGTGAGGTGTATCGAAGAAAATGGAACCACGAACTTTATGAGCTCCATAATGACAATGCTAGTCAACCGCATAAAGATACAGCGGCTGAGCTGGTTTGGACATTATTGTATTGCACCACGGAAAAGGCCATTTGACTTGGCGACCTAGGGTGGACAACGAAATTAAGGTCACCCTCAAACAATATGAAACTACCAAGTCAAGAAGAAACTATTTGCTTTTCTAGTGAATAATTGACTGAGCTTCGTTTAGGAGTAAGGAGATTAGCGAATTTGTATGCGCTTGCCCCAAACTTATTTCGCATAAGACGCACCTTCAGGTATCTACAAAAGTCTTTTAAGCTGTGGCTTGACCCATCATTCAAGCAGCGTATTTCATGTCGAAATCTCTGCTGGCATAAGAAGTTGTAAAACACATCTGAAACGCATAAATTTATTCAGTATTTTTCAATGATTGCAAGTCGAGAGAGTCGAGAAATTCTAAAATCATGCTGAGCTAGGAGGTAGTTATGTAGAGCAGACCAAACCTCATTTCAGGGAATATCTTAGAATGTATGCAATATAAGGTCAAGCGAAACTAAATGTGACGAAAAACTTTCTAGGGGTAAATGTGAGATCATACGATCGATCCAACTACGGTTCAAATATATGTTCATTACCCCAGAATAACAGTCCACTAATACTTTAAAGCCCATTCTTTGAGTATGAATGATATGCGATTAATAATGTTATGCAAAAATTTATTTAAAGCAAATGAGTTTATCATTTATTTGTGTATTAAAATTTTAATTTATTTACTGTTTTTTTCAGGAGCACCACAAGTACTACGCCCACATCCATCCATGCACACAATTTCCGTAAAACGCGGTGAGTCAGCCGTAATGTCATTAGTAGTCTGCGCTGATCCACGGCCACATCGAGTCTCGTGGGAATGGGGCTCATTACGTTTAGAAGCTGGTTCAGGCATAGGTAAGTTATATGCATATTATTTATAAATAGATATATATAGGGGAGGAGAGGAGAGGAGAGGAGAGGAGAGGAGAGGAGAGGAGAGAGAAATATTACTTTTTTGAATCATATTCAAATTTTGATGCTCAAATTGCTTTATGAGCTCAAATGAAGATTATAAATATGACTTTTTAATAAAAAGGCAAGAGAAAAAAAATTACCAGTTAAATTTTAAATTTTTAAATTGAAATAATTGTACATTTTAATATATATACGAATATGTATGTTTATGTATATCCAAAAACTTCAGTTTGGCATACATATGAGCAATGATATTAATTATCTTCTGGCACGAGCGACCCTGTGACTCGTCGCGGCATAACAATAAATGTGCTCTGCTGTTTGCATATTTTCAGTCCCTCATAAGCTCTATCTCTCTCTCTCTCGCTACCTCACTTTTTCTACTCACTCTATCATTGTTTTATCAACCGCTTTTTTTTGTACCTCCTATGCCATTGTTGCCTTGGGCACTGCAGTCATAAACTTGAATCCATTTTTTGGTTAAAATACATAAATGAATTTTTTTATTTTTTCAGGCAAATAACTTTTTAATTATAAGTTGAATACTAGCAACATCAAATAAAACAGAATACAAAATTTATAACGCCAAAAGCAATGACAATAACAAAAAAGAACAAAAAAGAACCAAACCTGAGATAATTCCTGCAACTAGCCGTACAGGCAATTAAAATTATTTGGAAAAATGTAGTGGCGCTCAGTATTGAAATTAAATTGTAAAAAGTTTAAATAACTTTTAAACGCTTTATTAGAAGCAGAATATGCTATACTCATGAGAGATATTCAATATTTTATTAATATACCGCTAAAATTTTTCTACTTTAAGAAAAGTTCTATTGAAGTATTATTTTCTAAAAAAAGATTTTCTATGTCCTAATCTGTGTTAAAACTTGTCGTTAAGTGTATAGAAAGCTCTCGAAAATTTATCATCGAAACACCTGCATGTGGTTACCATCTTAATAAGACTTTAGTAGAGCAAAAAGTGCGTTATCCCATGACTTCAAAAGCTGATCCAAATTTTGGCGGGATGTCTCAGCCCCTCTGGTAGCTCTGAACGCAAAATTATAAATCGGACATTATCGATCCAAATTCGGTAAATTTTAAGCCTCCGAATTACGGTTAGTTTTCATCGTAAAAGGACAAATCTTTAAACACCTATCAGACCTCTCCGAATAGTGGAAATTAAGCGAAAACTGCACATGTTTAATATATAATTATTTATAAATTTATGAGATGTATAATTAATTACACTTAAAATGTGCTCTTAAATACATAACTCACTTATATTTACTTTTTTTCTTTTTTCCATGTATGACTTATAATCGTGTATGTTGGCTTCCAACAATGATTGTGAACGACAAAACCAACAATAAAAAATCGTTAATCAACTCTCACTTTGTCGTGTGCTGTAATTGAAACTTCACTTGAACAACACCAACAACAACAACAACAACGATAACATTAAAACATATTCATTCACACTTCATTTCTGCCACAACACCCACGTCCGCCGATGTTGTTGTTTCTGTCGTCGTGTATAAATTAATGATGCATTGAACGCGTTAATGGGTATGCTGCTGCTGCTGCGGACAACGCACATGCCACATGTCACTTGCCACACGCCACTTGCCACATAATACTTGTACACTGCAATATGCACTTGAAATCAACGTACAACTTTAATCAACTAACAACAACAATAACAAACAAAAACACCATATGCCACCAACAACTCAATGCACCCATGTGACACGGTTTGGATGTGCTTACACCACCGCGTCTGGCATTGAAACGCCTGTCAATCATTGTTGTGCCGCGCCTACACGCACAACGCAAACTGTCTAAACTTACACCCGTCAATCGGCCGACCAAAATATGCCCGTCATAACCCTCATTTTTGTTGCTGTTGTTGGCGGGTGAAATCAACGCGCCTTGTCGCCTCTAAGCAGACCGTTTTCGCGCCGACGATATGCTGCAGGATACACGCGAGGATTGCTATCTATCGACTTTACACATTCTACGCACTGATGAACACGATTCGCGTCCCTATTATTTGGTGGTGGAGAATGAGCGCGGCTCCGATCGTCATGCCATTCATTTGAATGTGGAGGGTACGTTTACAGGTGCAGAGTGAAAAATTCTTTTCATTTATTTCTCATAATACATATGTATGTATAAGTGTATGCTTAGATGCATAAGTGTCAAACGCATTTTCTCATTTTACTTCATAGAAAAAGCATGAATTATACATATATTTTAAAATCGTTTTAATTGGCAATTTCTAACTAATTATCGCTAACATTTTTCATAAACTTATTGAATTGCATGACACACAATTAACAATATTTTGGACAAAAAAAGATGTGGTGCTAAAACCATTTTTTACATTATTTCGCACCATTATTTGGCATTAAACATGAAAAAATATTCAAATTTCAAAATAAAATTTGTTGAGCATTCACTGCGGACTGGCTGAGTTATTCGAAAATAGTTGCAAGGAACTGGGAAAGTATATGCATCACCTTCTTTGAAAATAATGTCGGATGAATACATGCCTGACAACTGCTATTTCCCATCTACAAGAAGGTGTACCCATATATTATATATGTCATATAATTGGCGCTATAAAAGCGCTGAAGAATTTGTCGACCCCGTACAATCGAATGACTTTATGAGGAACTTTTTTTGATTTCATATCAGACACATAAACGGAGGGCTTGACATTCCCTACCGAAGGCAACAGAAAGTAGAAAAATTTAATAAATATTTTTATTGAAACAAATGTTCTATAAATTTCTGAGCTCCTTCATCCTTGACAATCATTATTTTGAAGTTGTAGGTAGCTTCGTATAACTAGGAACCCGCAGTAATAGGAAGAGCAATTTTAAACGTTTCTCTCGACGAACGAACACCACCATTCTGCTTATGGTGCGAAGGCATGAGCTGTGACCACTGCCAAAGGTTTCGAGATTCTAGGTCATTTCTTCAAGCGAATGAGAACTCTTCAGCTTTAAAAGTTTTACACACTGCATCCTCTGATGAAAGCAGAAGAAGAATCAGACATCTAGTTTGTTGAAGTGAAAAGGAATTGGTCTTACTTGATTTTTTTCCCCTATAATCGAATAAGAGGTTGCTCTGAGAAGAAGAAGAAGAAAAGTAGAATAAGAAGAAGATTATGATGATGATACTGAGTCAAAGCACCAAAAGGGTAGAGCTCATGTCCCTACAAAAAGTTATTTTTTTTTTCATTTATAAGTAAATCCAAAAATGTTACGTATACGCAATGGTATTCTAAAAGTAAAAAATCATTTAAATATTTTAAACAACTCTATTTACCGGCTTTTTAGGTACAGTTTGCTTTTAATGTGTAAAAATTTGTTTTCTTAGAGTTTTAATTAATTAAATAATTTGCTTATTCTTTTTGCTCGTAACTTAAAGCAGCCGATCTTTAGTTGTTTAGTGCAAGAGGCAAGGGCATTGGGGAACTTCCGCGTTGGTTTTGTCTGTAGAGGTTTTCGATTATTCTTCAGGCGTGGCCAGCGGTGGGTAGGTCGGTGGGTGGATAACGCTGGGTTCGTCGTTCGAAAAAAATATATTATTATAGGAAGCACGAATGTGCTGCATTAAAGTTTCAGAAATCATTCGTTGATAAACTCATAACAAGCAGATGTAATTCATGTTTAAAACTCGTAAGCATTTCTACTGCTCAATTTCAACCTCAGCTCTTTATAGGTTTTGTAGCTCCAACGCCTACGATAGTTATAAGCCACCTTTAACTGCTGAAGTGTGTAGGCATTTTACTTCTAATCTCTTCATAAAGTTTTCTACACAAATAAAACTAAAAAGAAATTTAAAAAAAGGAAATTGTAGTCGTATTAAATTTATATATGTATGTATACCTCCTCATTATAAATATTCTCCTTCAAGCTGCTCGCCCATGCGTACGATTATCATAAACTTGTTTACATTTTATCAACAACATCTAGTAATTGACATTTTACAGCGGTAATTTAATTTCATTTAATTTGCATAAATTAATTTGGCACTCGGAAGGTTCAGCGAGTGGGTAATCTATATGCAGACCTACATGCATATACATATTTAAAAGCTTATCTCCATGCTTTGGAAAAATAAATTGCGCTTGCATGTATATCGCGAAATCGTCAAAATGTCTGCATACATTAAAAGTGTGCGTATATACGTACATATGTACAAACGTGCACTTACAGTTAAGCTTATAAGCGACAATTGTGGCTGCAATTTGCTTGTCTTAATTTACACGAAAGCGAAACGGAAAGCGAGCCATCAACAGCATTGCACTGGCAATAATAAAAATCGCTTGATTTATATACTTAGGCACATACATACGTATGTATGCGTATACAAGGCTTAACATGGTGCAGTAAATTATGCTAATATATATTTTTTTTTCATTTTGCATTTTCATCGCATGCAGTTCACACACAAGCTTGTAATATGTTTATATTTATTTTTTTTTTTTTTTTTGTTGAATTTTCTATTAAGTTGTGTTTTTTACGAATTCATAAAATCTTAGGCCTATTCTGGCTTTTAATATATTTTTAAAATAACTCAAAAAGTATGTGCCTATTTTTGAAAACCAAGATGAAAATCACTTTATGCGAGGCCCGTTGTTATATGTTGGTTGCACAAGAGCCTCCCAACTCTGCTCTAGGAGCGTCTGGAGAGTAACTATCGATGTGTTTAGTTAGTTTGATGTTGTCCCGATGAAATACAATTACCATCCTGTTGGTCAAAGCTGCGTACTACAGAGCGAATGCCTCCATCAGACGGTACAAATGCTGACGGTATATAATAGATCCGAGCTATGAGTTTGTATGCAGGAGAGCAACTCACAGCTTTAGATTCCTTTCCAAGCCCACAAAATATACAACAAAATATCCCTGGTCCTCAACCCCAGCTAGGAGATCGCTTGTGTTGCCTTACTGTCCATCGACCCTAACACTGTTTGTTTGATGTGACTGTAAGTGAACCAATTTTCTACACCAGTTAACCGTATGGAATCTTCGGAGTCACTCAGAAATAGTCTTTAAAGACAGTTCCAACGTTCCATATGCAATTTGGCTTTCACTAAATATTTTTATTGACTGAAAATAACGCCAATTTTGTCCGAAGAGAATCGCCTGGTGAATTTCTGTTTACGTTGTTGGCAGAATTTCGTCTGATCTATCAGCAGCTATCTTGCGTTTTTTCGCCTCTATTTTAGCCATTCGTTCTAAAAATTGAAAGGAAGACTAATAAAGTAATTACAAAGAATTTGTGGCTTTTGGATTAAGTAAAAACAAACCGAAAGTCGCCAACTGACTGAACTTTAGTTAATACCCTCGTACATATACGTAGCCAAATCAAGAATAGGAGCAGTTTTAGTATTTCTCTCTATTTTTTGAAGTAGTATTTTTTAATATTCTTTGCTCCATCATCTCCTTTATAATATGAATTATTAAATCTAGGTTGAACACAACCCACAAAGCCACAACAACGTGTTGCTGGAATCTTCGAGTTAAACAGTATAGAGCTTTCGCAGTCTCATCTTCATAAGCAAAATACTTTTGTGAATGACTTTGAGTGATTTTATATTGCTTAGCAAGTGTGAGTGCTGAACAAGTGAAAATATATCACTTGAACAAAGTCTTTAACACGAGCAAAAATTCATATTTTAATTCTTTCCGCTTTTTGTTATTTGATGTAAACCGTAAATGTAAAACAATGATTAACAATAATTTCCCATCTCTGCATTTTAAACATTTTCCTTTACTCTTTACATTTCTCTAATTTTACTATTCATGTATATATGTATGTTGCACTAACTGTGTGAATATAATAACTTATTAACATTTTCTAATAAATACAAAAAACTGATGCAACTTTTTTATATCTTCCATTTATTTCTCCCAATGCTACGTAATTGGCTGCCTGGAATATAAAATAAATTTAATAAATTTCAAAAAAAATCAATTAATTATATGTGCACTAAATAACTGTAATATATGACATCAACAAAAAATAACACCAACAACAAACCGCTGTGCATTGAAAAATCCACACTGCCATAAACTCGACCATAATTAATGTCAATAAATAAAAATAATAATGATTATAAAAATGAAAATTAAAATAAAACAACAACATACGCTGCTACATTGTACCATTCATCTGGCGCACAACCTTGTCAACTTCAACGCCTCAAACCAATCCACCAACCCCCCAACCAACCAATTGACAAATTTACAGAACCACTGGAGATGAGCTACTTACTCGGCATCGCTGGTGGCTGTTTGGCCGCGATACTTATTTTAATCTGTCTTTGCATATATGCGGTACGCAGTAAAAAATGTTGCTTCAAGGGTAAGTAATCGTACGTGCATGTATTTGCTATTTGTCGTGGGAAGTAGTAAGCCACAATATGTTTATACATACTATACTACATATCTATTTTAGTACATATCCATATATGCGAACAGTAAATAAATGTTAAAATACGGATAGTCAGATGCTCGCAGAACCCTCATTTTTGGCCAGTATATCAATTGATTTAATAAAAATAATAATCTGGCAACAACACATTATATTTTGTCCGGACTTTACGAAAAATCGGGTTCAAAAATAATTTAATTAGTTTATGAGGTTAAGTTATGTTATTGAATGTCGACAGGACTGCAAGGTGGTTTAAAGAAAACAATTAATAATAAAAAAAAAAATAATTTTTCAAATTGCCGTCGCCCTTCAGCAGGGAATGGCCATCTCTGTGCGTGCATTTCTAGCGCGAACGCGACTTAGCGTAAACTCTGGCTCTCTCCCCTTTTTTTTTTTTTTTTTGGGAAAATATCAACACGCAAACCCCAAATTGAAAAAGGGACACGGCCGGAACTCACTTTAGCGGTTAAAAATAATAACTGTAATAAATATTAAATCTTCCATAAAAAATCACAACTTGCTTATCGTGTGACAAATTAAACTTTCGACTTTTGACCAGGCCACGCACAATAAACCAGATATTCATAATGCGCCAAATCCTCGAAAAATGCTGAAAAATTAATCGATACGCGCTACCGCTTTGTCTGTTTTCAAACGGGTTACGTTTGTATTCTATATCTGCCTGCGTTAAACAGCACCAAAAGCTCAATTAGGATCTAGAAGAATTTCTAAAAGCCATTCAATACCGAACGAGGTTTTAGGCAGCATGACTCTTTTTCATGTGAATTATTTTCCTTAATACTAGAGAAAATAATATGAATTGCAAAGTCCAACTATTACTTGGAGAACATACTTAGGCTCTAAACGTCTGGCATGCTTTTGTTAAAACCATATTACGCTAGCAAGCTTGTCCTTTCTTTACCGCTATATTTAAAAAGCTTAACTGGTAAGCTATGAGCTTTCGCTGCTGGTCGGATATTGGATCGTCTTTGAAGCCACTATCTCGTGGCTTTTCAATTGTACTGCCATTAAGAAGGCTGGAGAATGGCTCCCTCCACAAACTCGGTACCCCCTTGGGCTATGGTCCGTGAACTTCCGCTGTGACTCTTTCATGAGTATATTCCAGTCTTGAATTTTCGAGCATTATTCCTAACCACCGACAATTTCTCTTCATACTTTATTCCTTTCATGTCACACATGGGTTTTAGTTATTTCTTAAGCTTAAGTGAGGTACACAGTTTATTCCCCTCCACTACGCTACGACGATCCACAGCTTACCGGCTCTTCTTTTGGACTTGTCGAAAGCATATTCTTTCGCTCTCAGCTGTACGTAGGTTGAAATGCACAGTTCCCTCATATAGAGTTGCAAATGAGTGCTCTCTCTCTCTCTCTCTCTCTCTGCTATGAGTACAGCTTTCCAACGTCATATCTTCAAAGGGTTTGTTGACGCGTGATCTATGCTGATAAAAATTGACTCGAAAGCAAAATATTTTCATCGTTCCGTTTATATGTATTCTCATTTAATTAAGATTGTTTTCCGTTTAACAGTGTCCGCTTCGCTCACACATAAGCACATTTAGCATCAGCAATAATCGCTTGTAGATATATACTCGTACATATTCGTACATATGTATTTAAATATTTCGTACTATCGAAAAATCGATTTCTTGCTGCTTCACCACTCTCCTTTTTCGCCACTTTTCACTCGCTCGCTCTCAAGAATTTCAAGTATTTCCAATTAAAACTTGCTTTCATACATATATTTATATACATACTTATAAGTAAAATATAATTAATAATAAAATAGTGGAAAATGGAAGGGGTTTAAAAATGTTATATTAAAATATATGTATAAAAAAAGTAAACATGAAAAAATTCTTTAAATTGCTAAAAAAAAATTACGTTGGCAGCAAAAGTTTGGGCACATTAAAAACAATTATAATTGGAGCACTGCCGATGCAGTAACCTTCAATACTTGCCATGTGCTCTTGTTTACGTACATTTACATGTTGGGCGGTATCCCTCAGCCATAACTTGACGAATGTTGGTTTTCCAGTACTCAAGAGTTGAAATTTATTTTTCTTTAGCCACACACAATACTCTAAAGGTGTCGAATCGCAGGATTTCTGTAGCCAACTGGCATCGGCAAGATGAGAGATTACACGAGAAGTGTGCAGCGTTGCTGGAGAAAAATTTTGTTCAAAAAATCGTCGTCCACTGCTGGTCGTTCAAGCACCCAGTCGACTTAAGAGTGGCGTTCTGAATGTTAGCTGGCTTTAGCTGCTGAATGAGCTGGACTCTATAGGGTTATAAGTGTAAGTTGAAGTAAAAACCATGCCATAATGTGCCGAAAGAAATTTCCAGCTCTTGAAAATGTTCAGAATAGGCACATTAGGGTTTTCGGCTCAACTTTCAGCTACAGTAGTGATCTTTGCTATGTCATGAACCAAACGATGAAGCATAGGCCTTACAATATTTGCAACCGATCCAGGCCCTTCTAAGTTCTTGAAAATATTTCCAATATCTGGAGTAGTTGGCCAATTATGTGCAGCCTTAGTCTGTTTTTAAAGCACGAAAAGTTTCCACGTTTGAATCACCTTTTTTTTTCTTTTTTTTTTGTAGGAATTCACAATTTTAGCGCCTGCTGTAGTCCTTTAGCCATCCATTTTCGTAAATATACCTGACTTGCAACTAAAACAAAAACAAATTTGATTGGAAAGCTAAGTTTGACAGATGTTGAAATATAATGTTGCCCTTTTGAAACCACGAAAATAGTCGTCATTCTGATCCGATGGGTATACATTTCTTTCTTTTACTAAGAGGTACTGGCTACGCGCTAAAGTTAATCAATTTATTTCATGTTTATGAAGGGTGTGAAAAGAATTTTGAAATAAGTAATGGACATTAGACCCTTTGGATTTAAAGATATAAAATCTGTAGCTATTTAGTGTAAGAGGCAAATGTAATCGCGACCTTCGGCGATCGGTTTCGGTTTCAGGGCAGTCCGGTTATCTATTATCCCAGAGACGTGCCTCTCGGTCGGTTGGACGCGAGGTGAGTAAAGCTGCGTTCGTCGTTAAAAAAAAAAGTAGTATCTATATGAAGAAATATAAATCATTATAAATATATAAAAGGCTTTGTCCATGTACGACTAAAGGATCGACCCATTGTGTAAACCACAGTCTAAACCACTGGCCCGAGAAATATGAATCTTGCTGGGAGGGCATACGTCATACGCAGAACGTTTGATTTAGATGAAAATTGGTACACAGGTGATTCTTCGCCTAAATTAACATGGTAAGCAGCCGGGGCCAATCTATTCAAAAAAATTGTATGTATTGTTTGGTATAGTAGTAGCTTTATGGAGACATTTCTTCTTCCAGAAATCGGGTCTGGTACTTATCTATTCGAAAATACCATTGGGAATACTTTTCTTTTCTTTCGGAATGTGGGGTTGGGGTCGGTCTATTCGAAAAGTCAAATTCACTTTTAAGTTGTTTGATATCCATAAAAATTTGGGAATACTTTTTCTGCCTGGTAGTGGGCCTAGAAGAGATTCAGTAAGGATAATCGGTTTTATAATTGCTTATAAGTTTTAGTAAAATTAATAATCAAAAACACTAAATAAATCTTATAAAAATCATCTTAAAATTCCATGCGGACTCTATTGAAAAATACTTTTAGGACACCTCGATACCTAATTTATGTCTCTACAATTACACATGCCCAAAAGATATTGTTTTTTTTAAGACTTATCTTTAAATCGAGCTAAATTCCCTTTAAAATGTTTTTTTTTTTTCATTAAATGAAATCCACCTTGTAGCAAATATATATGAAAACTTTTTACTCGCCAACACCAAGCAACTTTGTTAATTACAGTATCGTTGGTATTTTTTATATTTCAAATATTAATGAACTGTTTGTTTGTAAACAAGGGAAAAATGGGGTAGAATCAGAAGAAAGATGCAGAAATCAGATGTAAATGGGCAATGGAAAAAGCATTCGAAGTGGCATTCGAAAATGAATAGTAATGATGGTAATGAATGTGAAAAGGTTTCCAAATGCAAATGGAATTAAGCGTCGGGTAGAATGAATGAAAGCATGCAACAACAAGAATTGAGTGTAAAATGGCAAAAATGCGAGTAACGAAATTAACATTAAAAATACAAACAATTAACAACACAAATACATTTTATTAATTACTTGCGCGATGTGCACTAGAACAGCAACAAACAATGACTGCTCTCTAGGTATTTGTGCAAACGACAACAACAACAACAACAACAACAACAACAACAACAACAACAACAATACCAACGACAACAACAACAAACCCAAAATAACAACACGTACTGCCATGACTGCTGCTAACAACAAACCGTTATACTGATATACACAACGTTCGCTTGGCCGTTATTTTTCCGGTACTTTGCTTTTGCTGTCCGCTCTACAGACCCTCCAGCTATGCTGGCGCTAATTACAAAAACAACGTTCACAACCATAACAGCAAAAATACATTGATATTTGAAAGCAAAATGCCAAAGTGAAATTTACAAAAAGAGAAACTCAAAAAGAAAAAAACACAAAAATGTGAATAAAAATTTGTGGAAAACTCCACTTTTCCTATGCGATTTTATTTTAAATTTTGTTTTAAGCGATATTCTCATTTAGTGCATCATCCACTCACACACATATATGATGTGTGTGCACACACACTCCTGCTGTCCTGCTGCAGTGCGAGAAAAAAATATACTAAAATGAAATGAAATAAAAACAAGGGAAAAAAAAACAAAAAAAATGTTATCAACAAAAGCGGAAAAACAATGCATTGTGCCATAAAATTTTCATTAATGCCTTTTCACTTGCATGAAAAAATGAAAAAGCAAATTGCCCGCGGCCAGTTAACGAAAAATTTTCGCTTCCCATAAAATAAGGAAATATTTGCCGTAACGTCCCATGCCCGATGTCTGGCGAAGAATCTGACCAAGCGACCATGCATTGTCAACTGCTTGGATATTGCTATCGGTGGCATGTTGAAGCTGAAAATGCTTAATGCTTTAGTTGCACAGAAAGACTACTTATCTGCTCAGGCTCTTTAAAGATTTGTTGCGCACACCATTGTTGTTGTTGTTCTTCCTTATGTCACCTCCACAGCTGCCGCCTTGTATTTGTCGTGATGTTGTAGTCTCAGCGCGTTTCCGTTTATGCTGGCGGCTATGTTGCAGTCGCCACTCCGCCATTTCGCCATTTGCCATTTCCGTTTCCGCTTATCCGCACCGTCATCGTCGGTGTTCAGTCTCCACTGCGTTGGCCAGTCAGCACGTCAATTCCTTTTCCTGTTTTACTGTTATCGGGCATACACTAAGAGAACCACAGCAGCTGTTGGTCCGATCATTGACCGCATTGTAGCGACAAGCTGACAGATAATATTGGACGTTTTTATGTGATTAAAGGAAATAATAATGAATGTGCCCAGGAGTGCACACAAGATAAATGCTTTGAAAAAAAATCTGTCCTGTCTTTAGTAAATTGAAAAGAATTTCTGTTCGTTGAAACTCCTTGCCTTATAGTAAGCTGTGAGTGAGAAAACTTTACCAGCCTGATTATAGAAGATATATAATATAATTGAGGTTCTACCATCGGTTAAGGACATTTGTGGTGTAGATTCTGATGTTTTTCGAACAAAAAAATGATCTGCGGCTTATTCTAAATCGTCCCAAATAGGCAGATAGATTTTCGTGAAGAGCTTATTCATTTCATGACAGCAATATAATTTCAAGAAGACTGCAATTAGAAAAATTTTAATATTGTTTAATTGCGAATTTTCATAATTTTTGGATTGGTTCGAACCCATGATGCTCCCCATTTCTTACAAATTTTATGGCAGATAATGCAGACATGACTATTGGATTCCAAGTGTGCTCAGCCAAATCCAGGAATGAACGATCAACGAACTGTTTAGATCTAAAAGATGGTATATGCCGCCATTAACCAGAAAAGGTGATTCGTCCATTTTTAAGCAGCCTTCTATGGCTCTATGACGTTATTTCTGAGCTTAGGATACAGCTATGACGTGGAGCAATAACAAAAACTTTGCGAAAGAACCTTAAATCTTTCGGAAAACCTTTCCTACGAAACCCTCCAGCCGACGGGAATACTGAGCGACTTCGTTTTGCTTCCTAAGTAGTTTTAAATATCCTACTAAATAGAAAGTATTCATATTCAAAAAAAAGGTCTTTAATAAACTAAATTCAATATACAGAAAGTTCAATTCCATTCTTCCCAATGTGGAAATTTTTGAAGAGAAATTTATACATATTTAAAGAGTAAGCGTATCATCACTAAAAGCTGCGAACAAATAATAAGAGAAGTTATCAACTGTTGGTGGCCATAAAAGTAGAGTGGTTAGCATTGCGTAGTGGCATTCGGAAAGCCCTGGTTCGAGTCCAAGCAAACAAAACTAAATTTTCTAAGTACGGTCGCCCCTCGGTAGGAAATTTCAAGCCCCTACCAAAATTATTTCCGTCATGAAATAAAAAGTATCACATTAAAATTTATAATTTTTGTGCCACAAATTGAAGTAGGATCTCGACGGTAAATCGCTTCAGCGGCTACCAAGTGCCAATCATCAAATATATATCAAACATATACAAAGGTTTACCTATCTTTTATTACATATGGCAATTGAAAAATAAGAAAATATGTCTCTGTGGCTCAACGTAATTGAATAAATGGATACTGACATTAGTTTATTTCTACCCTGGGAAACAATAATGCACTTTGAATAATAAGAACCTCACAATTGATTTTTAAGTATACAAGAAATAAAAAATACCACCGATATTAAATATTGAAAATAAATTAGTACAAAGCCGGCTTAAGCCATATTCATGCGATTTAACTAAAAGTAGATTCTAATGTTTTTGTCGACACTGCATAATTGATCTGAGTTCGTTAGAATTGCCTCTTTTAAATAGCACGCCGATTGAGTGATAACATTCATTCCTTAAACGTCAATCAAGTTGTCAATTTGCTAACAGTACTTCCACCTAAGCATCAATTCCAAACCAAAAAATTTGACAGATGTGAGTTTATCTATTGCATTGTATTAAGCACTCGTTTATATTATATAAGAGTTACGTCAGTTACACTTTGTTACAGCTATCAAATTTAATTTCTCTACCAAAGGAAATAAAATATATGTATGTATGCTGCAATAGTGTTGCCGATGATGATGAGCCTGGAGCTTACTGAGCTGACTGTCAAAATACGATGTTCAAAATAAAAAGCCATTCCACTAACAGTGTCTATTTTTATGCAACTTTTCTTACTTACTGTCTCACATATGTGTATATACATATGTAATCGTCGTAATGCCGAAAATGGCCTATATACAATATAATTCAGTATAAGCACATAAGTTAGTTATTCACATTTACTTAAACTACATTTAATAAAATTGAAAACCAACATAATTTCCTTCTAGAAAAAATAAATCTATATATATAAATCAGTTGAATTGATTTCGAGGTCAATAAGATAAATTTCCTCCTTTTCATGAAAATTTCTTTCACACAATCGTTCTCAAAACCAAAAAATCACAACTCGAAATGAAACAAATATTCGTGTTCTCAATTTATTTATTTCTTTCTTATCTTAAATTATTTAATTTTATTTTGATTTAGTTTATTTTTTTTTGTACCCATTTTTTTATTTCGTTTTATTTTAAATAATTTTAATGTATTTTATTTTACTCTATTTTATTTCATTTTTTCTATTTTATTTTTTTATTTTATTTTAATCTATTTTATTTTATTTTAATCTATTTTATTTTATTTTATTTTATTTTATTTNTTTATATTACTTAATTTTGTTTTATTTATTTTACTACATTGTACTTTATCTATTTTCTATATTAAATTATTTAATATTATTATTGTTTTTATTTCCTTTAATTTATTTATTTTATTTTATTTCATTTCATTTTAATTTTTTTCCACTCGATTTTTTATATCACAAAATTTTATTTTGTTATTTTTCATTTTATTTTTAATTTCATTTCATATTGTATTAATACAATAATAATTTTTTTTTATTTTATTTTGTTTATTTTTGATTTTACTTTATTTTATTTTATATTATTTTATTTTATTTTATTTTACTTTATTTTATTTTATTTTATTTTATTTTATTTTATTTTATATTATTTTATTTTATTTTATTTTATATTATTTTATTTTAAATTAATAAAACGTGAGAAAATTCCTTTTTATTTGTGAGTAACCTTTGTTGCAGCATATTCTTATGCTTAAACATCAGCTGTGATCTATAGCAGCAATCTATCATCACATATATATATTTGCAGGGTTAAATGTACAGAAATTTTATAAGTATAGATTTTTGCAAACGTAAATAGGAGTATGTATAATATAAAAATGATAAACTGCAAAAGAAACGGGCGGTGAGTAAATGACGTATGGCAACTAATTTTTTCACCCCTTTTTAACAAAAAGGGTTGGTTGATATATATATATATATATATATATATATCTTTTGTTCGCTTTTTCAATTTTCATATTTTCTATTATACTCTTTTGGCGCAGAATTTTTTCAATTACTTTTATTTTTGCTTACAGGCAGTTCCGGCTATAAATCATCAGATAAAGACAGGTAAGCTTGTAACCGTACAAACTATCTAATATATTCAACAACAATTTTGTGTATATCGAAGTAATTGTGTACACCAATACATATATGTGTACATATGTTTTTGTTTCAACAGTCGCAAAAGTTGCAAATTAAGAATTTATATCGCATTTATGGTAACAATGGAAACATATATATAAATATATATCTATATTTGTGAAAAAATCAAATCAATAAGAAGCTATTAATATTATATGTAATAATGCTTTTCGTTAAAAATTTTTGTGTGTTTTTTAAAAATGAAAGTACACCAATTCTCAAATATGAGATGATTTCGTTTTGATCAAATTTTATTATTTATTTATTTTCTCTACTTTCAGAAACTTATTTTCTGTTGGTTATTGTTGTTTAGCATGAAACTGCTAATTTCTTTTATTATAAAATTAGTTCAAAATTTTATAATACTGCGATGCACTCAACTATTTTAGTTGTGCCATCGCTTTATGGACCTATGTCGCTTAGTTTTTATGGTTTTGTAAATACTGATGTATATAGTACATACGTATACGTGTCGAATTTCAAGGCGTCTGATTACATTTTATAATTGTTTTTTTTTTTATTTCACTATATTTTAGTTTATTTTATTATTATATTTATTTTTATTGTTTAAATCACTACATTTTCTTTCAATTTATTTTAAATAATTTTATTCATTTTTATCATATTTTTATTTTATTCAGTTTTAGTTTTTTCCATAAAATTAGAGTTTATTAGGGCATTAATAAATACGTTCCAAGAAACTTTTTATATTTGACTAAGGGTGTGCTTATTTAATTTCGATTTCTCTGTCGCGTGGCCTTTTTCGTCTGTACATTTTTCTCATATTTGGCCAAATTTTCGATCACAGTCACCAATAACGCGCCGAATACTCTGTTCTAAGACGTCAGTCGTCTCGACGTTCTCTGCATAACCAACCGACATCACACAACCCCGATTCCACACTTGTGATATGCAATGATACGCAATGAATGTGATGCGTTTTTTAATCAAATCATAATTAGTGATTAAAAGTGGATTTTTTACAATAATGCCAATCGAAAACGATCACGGTCCAGGCATTATGAAGCGCCACAAATCACTTCGAAGGCTGATATACACCAAAAGTAGATTATGCTATCAGTTTGGAGCGATTGGAAGGGTGGGGTATATTTCGAACTACGTCCAATGAGGCAAGCAATTATTTTGGATGTCTACTGTGAACAACCGGAAAAACTGAACACATCCATCAACGAGAAGCGTTCAGATTTGGGCAATTGTTAAGATGTCATTTTCCACCAGGATCCTGACCTACAACCGTCCGACTACCATTTGTTTCGATCTCTGCAGAACTCATTAAATGGTAAAAGTTTCAAAAATGACGAGGCTATCAAATCGCACTTGGTTCAGAATTTTGCATTTAAAGGCCAGAAGTTCTATAAGCCGGAAAGATGGCGAAAAGTCATCCAACAAAATCGGAATTACATAATTACAATATAAGTTAACTACTTTACCCTATTTTCAAAAATCGCCGATCACTTTTGGGTCAACCCAATATTATTTAAAGATTAAAGAAGATGAAAGCTTATGAAAGTATTAACTTGGATCTCAATCATGGGGATTGGTTACCGTTATGAAAATGATTTTTTAAAAGTTTAACGTGATTAGGCATTTACGGTTTGCACGCTTATTTTAGGATAGAGTTGTCCTCTGCTTTTAGTGTAACTTTTTTAAATAACGTTAGACATTTTTGAAAACCACGAATTTGGACGAATAAAAAAACTAATATAATTTTCTCTATACTTTTTTCTTTTCTTCTGCTCTCTGCTCATTGTGTTATTGCAGTGAGAAGGCGGATTTGAAATCACGTTCTGACAGTACTAGTGGACCACAGGGTGACTCGATTTATACCACACCAGCGGGTTTTCATCATCATCAACAACAGCAACAACAGCAACAATTGCAACAACATCACCAACAACAACAGCAACAGCAGCAGCAGCTGCATCAACAACAACAGCATCATCATATGCAATCCGCACACGGATCACCGGAGGCAATGAAGGTACGAATGGCTGCAATGATTTTACAGCCGCCAACTAGGGTCTAGCAGGCAATTAATAATAACAAAGAGAATATCAATAATAATATAAATCATACGTCTATTAATATTAATAACAATAATTTAAATGATGGTAGTAATACGAATACTACCACAACAACAACAACAACTATCAATACCATTACTACTACTACTACTGCAACAGCAGACACAAGCACAACCACAACAACAACGATACCAAAAAACATGACAAATCATTTAGCTAGCGTTAGCGTTAGTAACAATAGCGATTTGCATAATAATTCCAACAACACTACTACTAAGAACACAACAAACAAAAACAACAATAACAACTCAAACACCCCTCTCAAAGACGTAACAAAAAGTCAATTACCAAAAGAGAGCGCTTGTGACTCGAATGTGAACGCGGCTATAAACCCAAAGACGAACGCTAGCCAACTAACGGTTGAAACGAATGACAACGTTTGCGGTGAAAGCGCCAAAAAAATTAATGACAACAACGATAGGAGCTTTGCTGACAATTGTGATGACAAATATGACAAATTTATGACTGAAGGTTACAAACACATTAACAATAACAACAGAAATGAAAACAATGCCGACGACGATGTTATGGACAGAGAGAAAGACTTAGGCCAAAGCGCTAACACTACAAGCACTGCAACGATTGACACGCCAGCAATTACAAAAACAACACAACGTAATTCCAAATTGGACGCAAGCAACGAACAAACGCACATAGAAACGCAGAGAAAAATTGCGAGTGTTTCCAATAGCAGTACCAGTAACAACGACTACAATAACAGCAACATAACTAGTAGAAATGGTAAAGATAATAATGATATTTCTCCCAATTTTTTACACGATTCCACTGTAACATATAATAACGGTAATATTGGTCAGCAACTTCTATTGCATATAGCCGAATCGCACTCCGAAGAAAAGCTGGCAACGTTGCGTACACAGCAAAAGTTACGTCACAGTCAGCGACGCTTACGCACCAAAGCGCTCCTCGATAGTCTACCAGAAAGTCTGAAAATGCTTGCGCGCAACGAAACCGTTAACGTTGCGCTTGCATTCAATTCCAAGAGCACATCGAACTCCTACGAAGCGCTACTCGCCGATAGTGACGAGTTGTTACAAAGAATGACCATAAATAATCCCTTCTATCGTTTTCGCAAGCAATCAGACTCTTTGAAAGAGATGCGTGCGTTAACGCGTGGTAAGCGACGACGCTTACGTAAAGCGCGCTCGGAGACCGATATACTCGGTTGGCTCCAGTGGGGGAACGAGCATGATAAAAGCAAAGCGAGAGAAAGAGATAAAGAGTGTTATGAAAGTGGGGGTGTTATTCAAGAACGCTTTGCACAGATTTTACTAGATAATAAGGGTAGAGCAGTAGTAGATAGGGATAAAATCAATTATGTAAGAGATTATAATGAGACTGCTGTTCAGTTAACTGATGCCGATGGTAGTGTTGTAGTTGTATTAGATAATAAGCTTCCTAATATAGTTTGTACGCCGAAATCGTTGAGCAGTCTGGAAGAACTACTACACGAAGCCAATGCTGAAGAGGAACAACACGCCACACGCGGTTATTTACTTGAGGCACTCACCTCGGAAAGCGCGTACGCACACAGCACACGTGAAACGGATAGCAGCACAGTTATAACCAATCCTTTCTCCATCTTCCTTGACGATGACGCACAAATATTGGCGGTGAGTACACGCTTACGTACCGCTTCCAACGCTTCACAACAACATCAACAACAACAACGTTCACTAAAAAAGCGTCAACGCTCCGAACGTTCCATACGACGTTTGTTCGAAGCTAGCGGTGATATGTCGTCGGCTTCTAAGCGTGTGCCAACTAAACAGCAAGCAAGCGTTACGAGCGCGCGACAACACTTCCTGAAGGGCATACCTGTGAGCCACTTCGAGCGTCAAGATTTCGTCAACACTTCAGCAGCTCTGGCTTTGCATGATTCAACAAAGTTGAGCAAAGTCAAATCAAAACTTGTCTTCAAGAATCTCTCGTTACGTAAGTTACACAAGTCGGCCAGTGGTCTTCCAGCAAGCAAAATACATCATCACGTCAATACCACCGATACAATTAGCGAACTGAGCTCGTTGCCACAGTTAAAGAAACTCAAAATATCTTATCCAAATCGCACACAAAGCATTCACAGCGCATTAGATGTCAGCTCAAGCTCGCGTCTTAGCATAGGGCTTGTTAGTCCAGTTGGCGGAGCTGTAAGCGTGGGTAAGCATTCATATTTCGAGCGCCTGCAGGCGAAAACCCGTCAGGGTCTACAAAAACTACGTGATAAATGCCGCAACTTCAAGCAGAACGCTGGCCAGCAACAATACGCCACATCGAACAGAGGCTTCTCGACGCTTGCAAAAGATGACAGCTTTCGCTTTATAGGCGATCGCGCCCGCATTAGCAGCTACGAATCGAAATGTGCTGCACTCAATGCGCATGGTAACCGTCCACATGCCACCATCTATAAGAGTTACAAGTCTGAAATTGATCTCTCAAAGAATTTACACTACTTGGATGCGTACTTGGAGGAAAATTTCGAGCAAAATCTACGGAGCACCAGAGAAGCTGCCCATTCAGTGGGACGGGTAGCAGCTGGGCGGCGTCAAGAAAAACAAAACCAATTGGAAAATTTTCCAAAAGCTGAAGAAACCCGAAAATCACCACAATATGCGCGAACGCAGCGTGGCCGTGCACACAGACGCAGTCTGTCGGTGGCGCAGAAGTCCTTAGCAGCCGACGAGCAAAGAACCGCGTCGGTATCAAAAGCGAGCAACTACGAGAACCTCGGTACATTGCCGATCGCCAAACGCGGCTGCTCTGACTCCCTCAGCAGTTCAGATTATGCTTCGGTATTTAGTGGACCCACGTTGGCTGTCGAACCGGCAACACCATTAAGTGCGATGGCTGTCACAGATGGTGATATTACGCCCACGCCAGCAGACGACACAAGCAGCAGTGCGGGGCTACGCTACGAACATCCAAAGATGTCACAATACTTTTTCAACAAACTCGCAAATGAAAACGACGATCACGACCTCTTGCATACAGTAAAGCGTCACAGCAGCAGTGAGGCCGCTACTTGCTTCTTCAATGCCACCAGCGAAGACGAATTGGATGATGAGCAAGACAATTTTATGCATTTAGCTGGCGGGCGGGATGCCGCATTATTGGTTGATTACAGACGTGCGGCCAATTTGGATGACAGCATACGTATATTGGTTAACGAAGCAGAAGAATCGGATTTACAGCAAGATCAACAAAAACACGTCGCTAGCGTGGCAGTTACCAAACAAGCTCCTGAATTAACAACAACGGATTGGTATCAAAAAAGACAACAGCACGAGATGGGCGCCGCTAATGAGCGCAATTTCCTACTGGCATGTAATGAGAATTTAGCCGAGAGCAATTTCTATCGTTCGCTCAATCAGCATTTACAACAACAGCAACAGCAAAAGCAAAGAGATGGAGACTTGTATACAGATGTGGTAGATGATAGCGAAGAAGAAGGTGACAGTGACACAGCCACAGCCACAGCCACTTTCACAACAGCAGTGCATGGGCGGAGAATAAGCGGTGACGGCGCTGGAGATGGTGGCGACAAAAGTTTCCATTATGAAAGCTATTTAGAACACTTCCATCGGGCAAAGAATGGCGAGGAGGCACGTAAAGCCAACTCCATCGGCTATAATGACGAACGTGTAGATGTGAGCGATATTGGGGGCTTGGGCGATGCGGAGAATGCGGATCACGCTGCCGGCATCTATATAACACGTAGCGCATTTAGACGCGCAGCACGTGGCCGTAAAGCTGGAGGCAGTGCGTACGAATTGCGTCACAGCGCGCTGCTTCTGCTCAACGAACATTCGGTTGAAGATAATGAAAGAAATAAAGATTCAGCAGATATGGCAATGACAAGTAATCGCACAGCCTATTATGCGCACCAATTTTACGGTGCCGGTACTGACATTAGCGGCGCTGATTCTAATGGCATACAGGAAGCCCGCGCGAGTGGTGGCGATAAGATGAAAATGCCAGCAGCACTACTCAAACCTTTTACTGCCAACTCCGCGCTGAAAGGTAGGCAACGCGCCATGGCTGCAGATGGGCTGGCATTGACGGTAGCGGCAGATGAAAAGCAGCGTAGTGAGAGTTTTGTTGGCACGGCAACCCAGTTGGCGATAGATAATGCATCTAATTTGCTTACTACATTAACAACCACAGAAATCCCGACACACAACCTCAGTGCTCTTTTAAGCGTAAAGCCAACAACAATTGGTGGAAAAAATGAATTTTACTATGACGACGCATTGCAGAGCGCCGCAGCAATTTCCGCGACAGCCACAAAACCACCAACAATGATAGAACAACAATTCGACCACACCGAAGATGGTCGTATGACAGCGCATGTGTATTTCCAACAACACAAACAAGATCAACAACGAAAACAGCCAGCAACTGAGTACAGTGCAATGTTTATTGAGAGTGGTAAGCAAGATGGCGCTGCCAGAGAGGACGCGGTATTGTTTGGTGATGCCAGCAGTCGCTACAGGTTGGACAATATGCGGCGACATTTTCAACAACAACAACAGCAGCAAAAACAACATTATCGACAAAAATCAACTAATTCCGTCAGTTCGTCATTGTCGCTGTCGACGTCGTCATCGTCAAACTCCTCCGTCTCACAGCCCGTCGTGAGCAATCTCCAACAGCAACAGCAGCAGCATCAACAGCTTTTGCTACCTGCTGCTAAGGAGCATGTTAAGTACATGAAAATACAACAAAAACAACTAGCAACAGGCGCCACCAGCACCCCATACCACACACGACGCAGCTCCACAGCCTCAAATGCTTCATCTTCCGATAATTTCGACACATTCATCGCTTTACGCAATGCACAACAGACAACAAATACCGTTGAGTTGGCCTCGCCAGCTGCTGCTACGCTTACCGCATTACAAACAGATTATCTGCTCAGCACACAACGTACAAATAGCGTCAACAACAGCGGCATCAATAACAGCGCGC